TACTTTTTTGAATGGATAACTGAACATCATTTTGCAGTAAGCATTGTTTCCTATTTGACCAAGTGTTTTAAAACCTTTTAATAATTTTTGACAAGCTTCCCCCAAAATTCAAATCCTAAATGAAGTCTTTCTTTTGACCTGAAGGAAAAAATTTTTCTTTGAGAATTTCAGAGGACCCCTGGGACTGCTCAAAGACATTTGTTCTCTCTCTTCCTATAAATAAGAAGATACTAAGCTAATTAGGCTTATTTGGTATGTTAAATTTCATGGGAAGCATTGTAAAATAAGTGATGATAAACCTTCTTAGGTTGTATTATATGGGTAAATGTTATTGATATAAATGTTTTAAAAATTATATAACATTCCTAAAATTCTAATCTGTCCTAGTTGAGAGCCATAATTCTAGTTATTACCTTAAAGTGTTGTATGTCACAGAAATAGTGAAATTTTTTTGTCAATTGCCATTTTTGAGTCTTTTGTCATTTTTAGATAGTTGTTATCTAACTCTGATGTTTTTATAGATGTATTTCATCTTCAGAGAGATTCAAGGAGAGGACTCTAACACTTACTCTAGAATACAGATTTCTGATAAACTTTCAGATCATAAAAGTGAACTGGGTAAGAAATTACAGAACTCTAATGAAGAAACTTATGGCCTCATAAAACTGCTAACAGAAGAATAAGATCAAGAATTGATTACACAGGACTGAATAAACTGATGAGGATGATTATAATTTTTATGACATGTCATTTGAGATATTGCTGATTTTTTGATGTTTTGTTTTTTCCAGATTTAAGGAAACCTTTTTCTCTTTCTCTTAAGCTAACTATGACTTATAGTAACATGGCAAAATTATGCCTTTTTAAGTGAAATTGAAGTATTTTTCTTTTCTCCCCCTACTTGATCCCTTCAGAATTTGAAACTCTTAGTGAGTAAGAATTGTTTTCATGGCAATGCAGTTATTTGTGTAAGTTTAATAAGAATCTATTCCCCTTATAAAAGGACACAATTGGAAACACTGGTTATATTACCAAAGCTTTGACTGGAATGTCATATTTGAGAGAAACATGCAGACTCAGACATGACAAGATAGCTTTTGAGGAACAAAGATTGACTTTATAAAATAAAGCCACATGAAAATATTGGTCTAATACCTTGCTTACAGAATTCCTAGCAACCTTACCAGGTGAGTGAAGAAGTTTACTTCTCTAACAGGTATAAGGAACCTCAGCATATTTTGGGGAAACTCAAGAGAAGAGAGGAATCCCCCAAATCTATATGTATAACAGGCAGATTCTGATGACAAGTCCTTGGCTTTGCTGGCCTCAAGAGGCCTTTAAAGTTCAACCTGAGCTTTCTTGTAGAAAGTTCCAGCAGAAGGTTGCAAGATTTGAAAGACTGTATATGATCAATTGCTATTCTTGGGGTACTTATGGAAATAATAGTATCAAGTTTATTGAAACCAGACTTATTTCATAAACCAATTAGTCTTAATTTGGCTATCTTTGGTGAAAATGAGGTGAACAGGGGCTGGCCTGGTGGTGTAGTTGTTAAGTTTGTGTGCTCCACTTCAGCACCTGGCATTCACGGGTTAGGGTCCCAGGAGTGGACCTAAGCACTATTCATCCAGCCATGCTGTGGTGGCATCCCACACAAAAAAAAATAGAGGAAGAATGCCACGGATATTAGCACAGCAACAATCTTCCTCAAGCAAAAAAGAGGAAGCTTGTCAACAGATGTTAGCTTAGGGCCAGTCTTTCTCACCAAAAAAAAAAAAGAGAGAGAGGGTGGTGAACTTAGAAAAATGATGTTGCCATAGAAACTGTGAGGTTTTTGTTTTCTATCTGTAAACTAGATTGAATCCTGAATTCTTCCAGTCTCCTGATATGTCTCACTACAAATATGCAAACCAATGTTTTCAATTTTTTGTTTCCATCATTTTCATTTGAATCATTGAGAACTGAAACTGTGCTTTTTCCAGAAGCCCTGCAAACTGAAGCTGGACAACTTGATATGAATTTAAGAGAGACTTATGTCTGTTGCTTTGTAAGCCACTCAGAAAGATACCTGAACATCTGATGACATCCTCAAAGACATTTAAAACTGCAAAATACTTTGACTCTGACACTTATAAATGTTTTTGACTGGCTGTCCCCTGTGCTCAGAGACTGGTTTATGATTTGCTTCAACTATTAAGATTGTTTCTCCTTTTGTTTCTCTAGAAATGCTTCCTATTAAATACCATTATTGCTTACACAATATAGGCTTAACTTTGGGAGGCCACCTGCATCACTGTCTTAGTAGGAGACTGGTTCAATGAGATGGAACAACCTATGCCCCTTACCAGCAGGAAGAAGCTAGAGCAGTCATCATCCTATATCCCTCAAGATGGAGGAATAAACAACAAAAGGGGGGAATTGATACAACACAAGGTTGACATAAGGGAAGCCATGTTATAGAAAAGAAACCATATTGGAACTTTGAATTCCCTCTGATTAACTAGATGAGTAGGATATGCACCCTCCAGGAGATATACATGCTCTGTAGATTTTATGGCCCCTGCTTGTGTAGGTACCTCCCAGCTGTGATAAGATGATAATTTTGTTCTTTTGAATTCCCTGGGAATGCGATGGCTCTCAGACAGAGATTCTGTCTATTCCTATATCCATGACAACTGAAAGATCTGGTATGGTGACTACTAGTCTGTAACACCAGAGGATTAACTTTCCTAACCCCTCCCCTATAACCCACTGGTCTATATAGCTGCTTCAAGATTCTGTGTCCCCTGTAAGATGGTTCTTTAGGATGCTAGTCCACCATCTTCCAATTTGCTAGCTCATTGCTTAATAAAATGCCCTTCTTCTGCCACCATCTTGCCTCTTGATGGATTGGCTTTTGTCTTGTGGTGAGCAGGTCATGTCGTTTGCATGGTAACCAAGACAATAGGTCTCAAATACCTAATAAACTTCCAGGAAAAAGTACATAGAAAGACTAGAAGGGAGGTAGTATTTGATTAACATATTAGCTGAAAATTTCCCAGAACTTAAAATAAAGACACAAGTTCTATGATTGCAAGTGACCACAAAATGCCCTGTAAGACAAAAAAGCCCAAAAAACAAAAAACAAAACCTACACCTAGGCACATTGTCATGAAGTCTTATACACCTGTGCTGAAAGGGAAATTCCTAAAATTTCCTAGAGAGAAAAAAAAAAATACCTCAAATTAATGAGAATCAAAGCTATGTAAGCATTCTTACCAGCAAAACTAAATGTGAGAAGGCAGCAACACGGTATTTTTAAAGTGAATAATTTAAGACATTTTCAGTCAGGGTCCAAACAAGAATATAAACGAAAATTCAGGATGACAGAATTACAGAAATACAGGTGGAGAAAATGGACAGATTTATCAGTCAAATAGTTTACAACATGGCCAAAAATTATATTCAAATATGTTTGACAAGTAATCTAAGAAATCAAGTAGTAGTGTAACCACAGGACCAGGAACAGAATTTCTCACCCCAAAATATGCCTCTTTGGCACACGAATTATTTTAGGCTGATTACTTTTAAGAAACAGCACACAGGGAAAAAGCTCTGAAGACCTAGGAGGAGTTACCCATTTGTAGGGAAAATTTACATTGATAAGATAAATTTCCATTTGTAAGGGTGACTTCCTCTCTGAGCCAGAGGACTAAATCTCTAGAAACTCAGAGAAGGAAACGACTTAAATCTACATAAAAACTTCACCCTTGTTTACTCTGCTGACCTCATCCTAACAACAGAAGGCTAAGGCTGTTTTTCTGGGCCTGTGAGCCACCCAGGAGTACGTGCAGAAGAGAGAGCCAATGAAAACTCATCCTGCTAGCACTTCTGCACACCAGCCTGCCCTCCCCAATCCCTTAACCTTACCCTATACCCTGGATCAGGAAGACAGAGTTGAGAGGCTGTCCTTCTGTCTCCTTACCACTTGAATGCACAAACAACAAACTCTTTTTTCCCCCTCAAAAACGATGTACACAGTATCAGCTTCTGTGTGCACAGGTGGAAAGAGAGCCTTCACTAGGTAACAACAGTAATTTTTATCAATCAGATTAGTAACTTTTAAAAAGATCTATGATTCCAGTTTTGGCACGGCTATGGAGAGTATAATTGCCAGCATTTACTGAGTCCTCACTCAATGCTGGATACTGTGCTAAATGTATGTATCCTTTCCTACCTATCCTACCCTTAAAATTCTAAATTTTTTTTAATCCTAAATGAACTCCATTGGATACGGTTGAAAAATAAAATTCAAGTGAGTAAATTTAAAGCACTAATTGTCTTTATTAAGCAATTCATGAATCGGGTAGCATCCCTTTTAGCAAGTGGAGAGATACTCCAAGGAGTTATACAAAATGTGAAGTTTATGGGAAGGAGGGCAGGGCAAGGAAGTTATTGGCAAAAGAAAAGAAAGGATTATTTTGGGCCAGGACATCTTTTCTCTGGAGGGAAGGGAAAGGCAAGGGTTTTATCATGCAGATTGACTTTTCTTCCTCTGGGAATGGGGGAATAGGGAGGGCTCACGCAGATTACCTCATTGGTACTGACCAGAAAATTCCAGACTGGTTGATTAAGATTACATGTTTGGGGAAAGTGAAACTGCAATTAGATTTGGTATGAAATTGATATCATGGGATTTAGCATAATACCATTTTGGGCCTGTGGGTTTCTGTTTAACAATCCTATCTTATCCTCTGTATCTTACAGATGAGGAAACTGAAGCTCCCGGGGTAAGTGACTTGTCCAGCATTGCACAGCAGAAAGTATAGCTAAGGTTCCAAAGTCAAATATGTTGAAGGACTTATCCTGCAAGGGGTGGGATGGAAGCAATGCACAGCAGGTCGTGGGCGGGAAGATAGATGAGGCTGATTTTTCACATTGCCAGAGTAACATCTGTTCAAATATGTTTGTCAACATGTAAGGGTGATCACTAGTAGAATGAAATACCAGAAAATACTCACCCAGAACTTTCCAGATGGGAGGAGGGGAGAAGGGCAAGGGGAACCTAAAAAAAGGAACAGAGAAAAACCATGATCAGTGTGGAAATGGAGAAATGGAAAACCACAGGAAAGCTTGATTTAGAGACTATAAAATCAGATGATTGGACAAAATGGATTGGTTATCCTAGGGACTTACATTCCCTCATGAAAAGTAAAAGATTTGCAGACTAAGTGAAAAGAAAAATAAAATTATACTGTTTCAAAAAGACATCCTGTAGGCAGATAATAGAGGTGGGCCAAAATGTACCTGAGAAATGGAACTGCAAATAGAAAGAATGGAGGGCAGGAATATATCATACAAGGATGTTTCAAGCCAAAAACAAGAAAAGGCATAAAAGGGGACCAAGTAGAATTAATTTCTTGTATTTTTAAGAAACAAAATAAAATTTGGAGAGTATCTGATAAAACCCAAATGCAGGCAGCATAGCTAGGTCTGAGGAATAATGAAAAGGACAGAAAAGTTCCTGGGAATGAACAGACATTCTTAGTCTCTCTCTTTATCAGGCTGCTGGCTGCTTTATTCTCGTCTCTCTGCAAGTCAGGTTTTTCTGCTTTTGACAGTGTTGAGGGCTGCACACAGGTCCCATGGTGCCCAGTATTCTGTACAAGTAGCCAGGATATAATCCAAGAGGAATGTTTTAGCCCAATGCAAAGTACATCACATGAAATCTGTAAGACTTCTGGGACAAGAGAATATTCCTGCAAAATATATGAAGCAAGAGGCAAGGAGAAAAGTGAGACTCATTGAATGAACAGAGACGGACACAAACAAGACTGGACAGCATTTGTTATTTTAGCTTATAGACCAGAGATTGTCCGGATTGTAACCAAGGTTCTGCTACTCAACAGCTATGTGAATTTGGGCAGGTTATTTAAATTCTCTGGCCCTCACTTTTCTCATTTATAAAATGGGGTTGATTATGATAGTGCTTGCTTCATGAGATTATTATGTGGATTAAATGTGTTAATAATGTTTAAGTGTGCTGTTTGGATGGGAAAAATCCCCTTTCTCCCTTTCTTGCGTTCTTACAGCTGGACTGATAATAAAACTGACACATGACCAGATGAACAGGAGAAAAACCCAGTTTAATATGTACATATTGGAGATCATACAGAAATGATGCTCGGAGAGTGAACAAGGCAGACAGTATCTATACATTTTTTACACAAAGAAACAATAAATTGTGAGGAATGACAGGACAAAGAAATTTAGATTTGAGATACATAATTAGTAAGGAATTTAAGCAGAGTTTAGGCTTGAGGCAGTAAATTGTCAAGGCTTGTTTATGTAGGCATCTCGGCCCTGAACTCCCCAGCTTTGGTGATAAGGATGCAGGCAGAGCATTTTTCACATGGGAGATTTATTTCCTGCTGTAAAGGGGAACAGAGACAGGAGGGCAGAATGCCCCTTTTGCTTCTCAAGTAACTTTAATTAAAAATAATCGGTATGCTCTTGTGGGGTATTTTGGGGTAGCCTGCCCTTGGCCCCAACAGTGCCTTGCATGTAGTAAGTGCCATCCGTGGTTGCTAAGCAAGCACCATGATGTTACGTAATCAATGCCATTCCACTTTTGAAATCCCAATAGGACCTTTTTTTTTTTTTAACTGGCAAGCTGATACCAACGTTTATTTCGAAGAGTGAAGACATATGACTTGGTCAAGGAAAATGTTGAAAAATAAGACTAACAAGGGTGGGCTTGCTCTGGGACGGTGTTACAGAGATTACAGGGTGGTCCATATGAAGAAGGAGGCCAACACGCTGAAGAAAAGAATAGAGTTCAGAAGCCACCTAGAGGACCAGAATCCACAAACTATCCTGGATACAAAGTTCTTCTAGGAAACAAGTTACTGAAAAAAGTTTCTAAATTATATTCTCTGTGTACAGAATGCTGGCAATGTTATTAAATGCGAGAATTTTTGTGCCTTCTACAGAAGACACAAGACATGCAGAAATAATCAGAAGTCTTTTTTTTTAGACAGTCTCTCGCATTAATGAGTTCAGTCTGTTTCTACTTTGCTTGCTGAACAATGTCTGGATCTCATATAATTATCAAAAGAGTAGCTATGATTGAATAAATGTTGAGGGAATGGGAAATAGTAAGGAAGATTTCATGCGATTATCATGGACAACGGGAGACAGATAAAAGTCCATTTGAGTTAAGAATTGCACGCATAGCACATTGTGTCCCCTTCGGTTGTGTATTCAGGAAGTAATGAGAGTGCAGAAGAACTTAACAGGCTTGCAGACTCTAAGCAAAAAGATAGTGACTCTTTTCTACTCTTCTCCTACAGCCAAAGACCAACTCTGTGAATTACAAGAAGTTTGGGAACTGCCTTGTCTTCGACTTATGTGAGATGCTCAAAAAAGATAGAATGGCAGCTCTTACCTGTTAAAAATGTTTCTTGTACTTCTCCGGAAAATAGGATGTACTGGCAATCACTGGTTTCTTACAGAGAAAGTAGTGTGTTTTCTGGGACTTGTTGCAGAAATAACGAGCCTGTAGGTCCTGGGAATGCAGGTAGTTTTATGACATTGCTTTAAGGATTCTTCTATCCTCCCCTCCAAGAAAGATGCTGCAGTTGGCGTGTATGCAATGCAACTGAGATGCAGGTGAAAATCCAGAGCTCATTTTGTTATCCTGAAAAAAATTACTTTGCTTCATTGCCATATTTCTAGATCCAGGTTTTAAGACCTACATTTCAGTTTTGAGTCACTTTCTGACCTGGTTTGTATGTTTATAGCTATCATTAAACAAAAACCTCAACTCTTCTATTTCCTTCTCTCTGCTCTGCCTCTTATACTTCTTTAAAAGATTATATTGTGGGTCAACTCTCCCATCAGTGCCTTGTATGAAAAAGCTCGTTAAGAAAGACTAGATTCGCTTGGTTTGAGATCTCCTAATGTTTTGATATGTCCAGCCAGCATCTGCAACTATGAACTCCCTGCTGAGGAACTGGCCAGGAGTCAAAGAAACGGAAAACTGTAAAGAAGTCACCATGTGATGTGAGCAGAGAGTTTTTGGCAGCCTGGCTGAAGTAAGACCATAATCCTTTTCGGAAATCAGTTTAAAACGGAACTATTCACAATAAACATGAAATTAAAAGCATGAAGTAGTGGTGTCCCAAAAGGAATGTGAATTCTCCTCCAGGACATGCAGAGACCCGTGGATGAACTGTTTCTAGATTCTTGCTCCAGCTTTCCTGAGAGTAAGTTAACCTCTAAAACTGTGGTTGTTTCGCATATGGGAGAATAACATACAACTTCAAACAGGGAATGCCAAACATTTGGATGGAAACTATTAAATGCAGTAAGTTATTAGTGAGTTGTTTGGCTTTTTCAAATCATCTGAGCATTTTATATTGTATAGCTAAATAACCGGTTGGAGAACTAAGATTTGTTTTTCATTTTTACCCTATGACTAAAGCATGTTTGGACAAATAGCATATATTATCAAATAAGGCTGTTGGATAAATTAAAGGAATGGAACTTTATGTTGCGTTTTTGCAAGTATGAGCTATTTCCCAAGTTATTAGAAGTAGTTATTCTTTTTTATTTGTTTTCAATTTTACTGCCAGAGGATTTGTAAGCACGGGGGTATACATGATTTTCTGAATTTTGAAATGTTTTAACTGGCTTGAGAATATTTTCATCAAGAAAACTTAGGGCGATATTTTTATTGAGCTTGTTTATCATACTAAATGTATAAGAATTTTGATCTAATTCGTTGTGCAATGTTATTTATTCTTTGAAAACTAGGAATTCTATCTGATGGGAAGTGACTCGCTTTTTATAGCCAAGTTATTATTTCTAGATCATAAAACTTCCTATTGGAGCAATTTAAGCTAGTTTGATATTTTGTGCTACTATGGTGCGCAGTATTTATTTTCCCTATTAGTGTGCGCAGTGGAAAATAAATCAGTCTTAACAGTCAGAAACAAATAACCACAATCATCATAACTAGATCATGTGAATTATTCTTTATTCAAAAATAATTTCCAGCACATGCCTTAATCCACAGAAAGAAAGAAGAATAAGCCATCAGGCAATAGATTTAACCCTTTCAGGTACCATCGTTTACCACGACATTGATTTCCTAATGGGAAATGCTGTAGGTTGGTTTCAGTTGGGGTCACCAGGCTGTCACAGCCTACTCTGGTACCATTATTAGCATTCACATAACTTCGGAATCCTTTTGTTCATCCCTGGACAATTTTTAAACATGAATTCATGCCCTCCTGTGTTCCATGAACCGGCACATCATAGAAGGAATCCCCAGCAACTATTTTGGTCCTAAAGTCCTTGCTCTAGACCTACGCTGGAATTTCTTTCTGTCTTGTTCTCAGTGCTCATGCTCTCAGGCTCTTTTTATGCTCCTTGAACTAGTTTTCTACTGTTGCTATAAAAAAATGACCACAAACTAAATGGCTTAAAATAAAACAGATTTATCGTCTTACAGTTTGGGAGGTAAGAAGTGTGGTGTGAGTCTCACTGGACCAAAATCAAAGTGTTGGCGGGGCCGCGTTCCTTTCTGGAGGATGAAGGGGAGAATTCTGTTTTCTTGCCTTTTACAGCTTCTAGAGGCTGCGCACATTCCTTGGCTCACGCCCTACTGCCTTCATCAGAAAGGGCAGATTCAGTCCTTTTCACATTGCATACTCTGACCTCCTCTTCTGCTTCCCTTTACCGCATTTAAGGACCCTTGTGATTATGATGTGTCCATCCAGATAATCCAGGATTGTCTGTTTTAAAGTCAGCTGATGATCAACCTTAATCTCATCTCTTACCTTAATTCTCTTTTGCCGTGTAATGTAGCGTATGTATTCATAAATTCCAGGATTAGAATGGGACCATTATTCTGCCTACCATGTTCCTCTTCAATTATTCCTTGCCTTTCAGACTTAAACAGCAGCAACACAGTACTCCCTGCAATAAACCATGGTTAGGTTCTATTGCTGGCAGACTCCCGCAGCTGCCTCAAGTAAATGATCGTCCATTTAAGCTGAATACTGAATTTGGCAGCAGGGAGGGGGAGGTGTGCGTGCAGCCCGTATTCATGGCTTCACTCCTGCCACCTGGATACGATCAGCATTTTAGGCCACAAACCTTGTATCCAGAAGCAACTTCATTGGTAAAATGGTGGAAGAGACAATAGTAACATTATGATTTCCATTCCTCTTCACTATGGATCCAATTCTGGCACAGCCTCAGGATCCAAGCTTCATGAGAAGGCACAGAGCTTCAAGGGTTCTCTCTCTTCAAAGGTCCTCTTTCACTGTTGCCCTTTTTGGGAAAATCCAAAGTGGCTGTAGGGTGAAGGAAAAACTGTTTATGCTAATTTTTTTCTTGTTGCATTTAGGACACTTTAGACTCCACTTTTTCCTCGCAACCCATACTATCATTTAAGGGTTGATTTTTTTTCTCCTCATCTTTGAAAATACTCTTGCTAGTAGACATCTTCTCTGTCTTTCCACACCCAGATGAGGTACTTGCCCCAAATGTGGAAGCTGCAAGGGTGTCTCTCTTTCTAACCATCACGGATTTATTTTACTTGGGAATTCAGTTCATTAGGGGCTCCCTCCATCTACTGTTTTTTGCTAATGCCACGCAAAATATGATTTTAATTTTGCTGAGGTTATTACTTTTACCATTGGTGTAAAAGCATTTCACATTCTTCTATATCCTAACCTTGGAGTGGAAGAAGGCAAAGCTATTGTATCCAGGCAGATTCTGCTGCACCCACACCACCCTGACGTTCCAGGACGTGGGGTCAGAGCCCATGCTTCGGTCTTGGCCTTTAACGCTACAGAGCATTTCAAGTGAAGGAATATTGTGTGGGTTTCAGTGCTTTCCAATAATATTAGATTAAATTAATTTTCTCAGTTAATTTTAGATTAATATTCACATTTAGGTCAGGAGAGTTGAAAAACTGCCTCGTGTTTTTTCCTTAATTTGAGGCAAATTTTAATAATTTGCCTGACTTTTTGGGGAAGAGTGGTTTGTGGTTTGTGGTTAAATCACATTCTAGTTTTATAGCAAATGGATATTTCTTCACTCTTCTTATTTTTGTCCATTTTGGTAGATTTTTCGAAATAAAATGAGTCACTCACTTTTTCACTTCCACTTTGAAGATGTCAGGCTGAATTCTGTTCCATTATAAACTGTTTCCTCCCTCCCTCCTGAACTACGCCACTCCACCCCATCAACTTGATTCTTATAGACTTTCCCTTTTATCTTTAATTTCAAAAATATTATTTTTTTATTTTTTTGTCATTATATTTGGTTCTTGGAATATCTTTTTGGTAAATACACATGACTTCCCACTGCCTTGAAAAAGTAATTTCCATTGTACTTTCTACAATGTGTTGTTTTTTCTTCAATGTATTTTTCTTGCAACTGTATTTTCTTTTTCGATATCTCTTTACCAAATAGTTTAATTTTGATCATTTTTTGTCTCTACTCCATGTACTTGTATCTCTCTCATTGTTTTCAAATGCATTTTAATTTTTTTTGAAAATTTCAGAGAATTTCAAAATTTTACTCTGTATCATGGAAGATTTTATCTTCATTACTGATCTCAATGGGAATTTAAATATGTTATTTGCTTTTTATTTCTTTTTAACTTTCTTCTTGAATTTTGTTATAGTCATTAAATGGGAGATTTGAAGACTTTTCTTATGTTCATTGTAATAAAGTTTTCTTTTAAAAACTATCTATGTTCTCTGCCTTTTGAGGGTAATCTACCTTTCCTTATGTTCCAGCATTTGGGAGCTCCTGATAATGACTGCACAAAATGAAGTCTGTGAATAAATAGCTTGAGTGGATCTCTCCGAGAGCTCCTCACTACCTGTCTGGATGCTGGTAGAATCTCTGATCTTACACTGAAGGAAAAATTGATCCACTACTCTCTAGCCAAATTTCTACAGCAGCATGGCACACTGGTTAAGAGTGTGATCTCCAAAACTTGACCATCTTTTTCCTTAATCTGAGGCAAAATTTAATAATTTGGCTGACTTTTGAGGGAAGGGTGGTCTGTGGTTTGGGGTTAAATCATATTCTAGTTTAATCGTGAATGGATATTTCTTCAGTGTTCTTTACTTTTGTCCATTTTAGTAGATGGACCATTTTTGTCCGTTTTAGTCCTCATTCTGTTACCATTAGCTGTGTTTGGCCAGTCATTTCTCCTCTCTGTGCCTCACTTTCCTCATCTTTTAAGTGGGAGAATAATAAGATCTATCCCAAACGTTTATTGTGAGGATTAATTAATTCTTAATTCTTGTAAAACACTTAGAACTGCCTAGAACATAGGAAATGTTAGTTAATATTATTTTCTCTCAAATATCCTATATTCGGACTACCTCTAATCCCCTCTCTCTTTGTTCCAGCCATAATGAACAATATGAAATTCTCTGACATTTTATGAGATTTTTCTATCTACTTATGTTTGGATTTTGTTGCTGTTTGGCTTACTGTTTGTTTTTTTAATAGTTGGCTCGAGACTATTGGACTCTTTAAGGATCAGGTCAATCTTACTTTTGATTTCATAGGACACAAAACGATTGGTTTAAACGAATCTACTATCTTGTTTTGGTTATTAATTTTTTAAAATTTACATTCTCATTTCATCCTCAACCTCCATTCTCGTTTCCCTTTAGCACAGGTCGCCTTTTCATTGTACTTGATGGTGGTCCTTTAGTTCCTGGATATTCTTGAAAAATGTGTATGGCATGTAATGTTCATTAATATAAATGATATTGTGATACAACTCTCAACCTTTTATTATTTTTATTTAGTTGGCACTATGTTTTTAAGATCTCTCAATGTTGATGGGTAGATACCAATCCATTGCTTCTGAATCCTACACGATATTCTATGGAGTAAAATTTGTTTTACCATGCTGTGCCACAATACTCTACATTACGATGAATATCTTTGTACAGGTCCCCTCACGGACCCATGTGGTAATTAGTCTGGCACACATACCAGGAGCAGAATTGATTGATGGCAGGATATTGCTAAGTAGCAATGAATTGGTAATGAGTCACCAAAATGGTTGTGTAAGTCTATGCTCCCACCAGCAGTGTGTTAAGTTCCTTTATTCCTGTTAGAAAATGGAAGTATGCCAAATGGTGGGGACAACTCCTGACTCTGTTAAACTTTCTAATTTTGTCAGTCCAATGAGGGATAAATATAAATTATATCATAAATTGTCTTAATTTTTACTTATTTCCATCTTGAGCTTGAATATCCCTGCATGTGATTTTTAGCCTTCCGGCTCCCTTCTGCTACACGCGCAATTGGAAAGAGTGGCTATCGTGTTCTTTTTGGTTTGGTTGCACAATGTTTCCTATTTCAGGCCTTCACATTTACTTCCTTTACTTCCTCATTTTAAAATTAACAGGTCAGAATGAACAAGAGGCACTTAAGTGTGCGTCAGCAAACATGGGCCCTTCTCTGCAAGAATGTTCTTAAAAAATGGAGGATGAAGAGAGAGACCTTGATGGTATGGTTCAGAGTCTATGCCTTCTCATTTTTAGCAAAGGAAAAAGTACTTTCTCTAGCAGTGCAAACACTTTATCTTCATTATTTAATGTTTTACATCTATTCCATTTCTAACTACAAGTTGGATTATTTTTTAAAAATTGTGGACTTTGCTATTATTTCAAAGAAGATTCCTTTAAAATATGTCATTATTATATGTCTTAGTGGAGGCATTTTAAATAGAGTTCCTATTCAGAAATTCCCTGGGAAATAAAGTCACATCTTCATACTGAAGAGACAACAATTCTTAATATCTGAATTCATTGAATCTCCTGAAGGAATAGGAACAGAAGTTCAGGGTCAAAGTCGAAGAAAGAGGGAGAATTTAATTCATAAAGTAATCCAAAGTTTAAAAAATCACTCAAATGATAAATTGTAGCTCTTTCACACAATTGTACTGTGGATACAGACAATGCCAATTTGAAAGAAATAATGGTCGTATAAACAAACAAGAAAAGAAAGTGACATTTTGAGCTTTTGCTTCTATTAAGATAGTATACATTTTCTTCTGATCATAAGAATGAATACATGTGCTTTGTGTAGAAAATTCAGAAAAATATAATAAATAAGTTTAAATCACTCATTAGATACCATAGTTCAAGGGTTGATAGATTAACATTCAATCTCATGAGCATTTGTGTGTGGGGCAGGTATTGTGTGTGTGTGTTCTTTCAACAAATATGTATTGAATGCTTGGATTGGCAGTGAATAAGATATACAAAAATTCCTACATGGAATAAGGTTTACATAAATATAAAAGTTGAATTCTACTCTATATAGATGTTTTCCTTTCAACTTTTAACTCTTTTTATATAAGCATTGTATCTGTCAGTTTATCTATCTGGATAGATTAGGTATAGATATAGACCAACACCCGTAGCTAGAATCAGATCATATGATGAATAAGATATACACCTCTTTTAAAGGCCACATGTTTAGAATTATAGCTAAATAATAAAGTTGTTATTGTCACTGGACTTCAAATGCATTCTGTGTATTTCCAATTCCAGAATGCTGTCACAGTGATGAAGACTTTTAAAATTCCTTCTTATGAGCAATATTTTGGGACTATCTTCTTCCACATGCAGGCAGCAGGAGATAAAAATATGACCTTGCTCCTGTTGATGGAAGTTGGTTATCTATTTCAGGCCACCTAACATTTCTTCATCATTGTCACTCAGGTGTCAACATGACTCTGATCCATTGTGCCATTCATGGAGTGATCCAGCCTTTAACATTTGCATTAAAGTATGATAAACTTAGACTCAATTATCATTGTAATTGATGCTACAACTCTGTCTTGATGGATGATGTGCATATTTCAAAACATGCAGATTAACGGACAAAAGAAAACCAAGACATTTAAAAACTGGGAGGGGGGAAAAATGGAACCCATGCTATATAACAGAACTACATGTTTTAAATTGTTTGTGGATGATCAATTTGTCGTTGAACCGCTGTTGATTTGCTTCCTTTTTCTTTCCTTGCTGTCTAGGAGTGGTTTTTCTCATTACTTCTAGTACTGTTTGCATACCTGTTTTCCTCCAATTTACATCAAGTTAATGACTTTCCTCAGTTGCCTGCAATGGATCTGGGACGTGTAGATAATTTTAATGATTCTAATTATGTTATTGCATTTGCACCTGAATCCAAAACAACCCAGGAGATAATGAACAAAATGGCTTCAGCCCCGTTCATGAAAGGTATGTTCTCTGGCAGTTCGTGGTAATTTCCTTATTAACAAAATACACAAATTCATTTTGGGATTTCCTTGATAAAGTGTGTTAAATGTTCAAGTTTCTAGATTTAATGAACAAAATTAATGCATATTCCTTTCCAATAGCAAGGAGACTTTCTTACTCTATTTACTAGTCTCCTATTTAGAAAATTTATGTTAGAAGAGTTATCCTCATTACAGTCTGTATCAAAATGAGATAGTCCAGGATTATTCAAGTGTTTGTTTGCGAGAAGATTCTGGAATGATTGGGCAGTGGTGACAGCATGGTTTTTAAATCTCCCCAAATACTCATATAGAAGTTGAGAGAGAAACTAGACAGAAAAACCAAGAAATCATGGGTAATACTTACAACAAAACTAGGTGACAAGGAGTTCCCTCAAACCCCAAAATATAAGTGATTGGAGGAGAAGTACTACCAGTCAATAGGCCTGCATGGTATCTCTCTCTGGAGTGGTGAGAGAGCAAAGGAAAGCAATGGGGGTATCTGATGGACCTGAGAAGAGAATCAGAACACCTTAAGAGAGAACTAGTAGCCACAGCAAAGCAGAGAAGGCCAACTCAAGAACAGCAACTGAAGCCATCTTCAGTAACTGCATTGGTGGTGTAACATTAGCATGTTATTCTGTGGCTGCTATATATGTAAACTGAGATATATCAAATAAGTAATCATGGAATAGTTGAATTTTCTCACCCCTGAGTTCTTGAAACACAAGTCTCAGCACGGGAAGAAAGGAGATGCAGAGATTTAGGACAGGAAATTTACAGGGTGAGGAAACTTGTCATTCCAGATAGCTGGGAAGTCATTGAGAATGAATAGGTTATGTCAAAAGCACTCGGCAGTCAACTTAAAGACACTCCTACTGGTCAAGGTTGGCACCATTGCACTTCAACAAGAATAATAAGTGCAATGATTTGAAACTCATCCAATGTGTATTTAAATCTATGCCTTCATAATGATATCAGAAGAAAAAAATTGCTGAGCCTTTAAAGGGTGATAGGAAATCTGTTCTTACTATGAAATTTGTAAATAAAGGGGAAATAATAGTATTTATCCCATAAGAATTGTGCTGTTGCATAACCAGATGATTGAAAGTACTGTTTTATAAACATTTTCTACTAATAAATGAAAAACAAATAATGGAAATAGAACATCACCACTTTGAAACTCCCATTGAATTAACAGATCTAGGCATCAAGCAGCAGTGGCTGCTAATATCTCAAAAAGAGAAACAATCAGAAATTATGACATATTGATGAAAGAATATACCACCTACAGTCTTGCCAAAAGGATTGGACCTGAGCCTGATTAAGCCTATGGATGCTGTTGCCAGACTGCAGGAAATACAGAGGACAAAGGAACATGTTGAATTGCATCAGGAGCCCGCATTCAACAGAATCCACATAGTGGGAATTTATATGGGTTAAGTGGCCTGGGTTTGATCAGTAACAGTCATTCATTGACATTTTATATTTTAGAATAAATGAAGTCTCTTGAGAAAATACTCTCCAAATTTAGCAATTTTACTCTGTCTTTGGAAGTTTGGCCACGTTGACATGAATGTCAAAAGGAAATGTATATTATAATTATAGTATATATTTATAATTATAGTATGTATTTTAGCTTTAGATAGGTCTGTGTGTACCTGAGTTTATATGTATGAATCAATATTGCTATTATTTCAAGTTCATTGTGGTTTAAATTACTGGTTAAATAGTTTATTTGGAAAGGCGTAATCTATTTGTGATAAAAATGATTGCCACATTGCACTTCTGATTTTATCTAATGTCAGAATCTCTCCTCCAGGTGTGAGTCTCTTATTTAGGACCAGCACTGCCTTTAGTTAGTTAAAGAAATAACTTTAACATAAAGTAGCTTCAACATAATCAAATATGGCATGCTGTCTTTAGACCATATAGAAATCTTCTTACTTAACTATTCCCTTCTTTCACACGGCAGGAAGAACAATCATGGGCTGGCCTGATGAAAAAAGCATGGATGAATTGGATTTCAACTATTCTGTAGATACAGTGAGAGTCATCTTTAAGGATACCTTCTCATATCATTTGAAGTTTTCCTGGGGAGGTAGGATCCCCAAGATGAAGGAACACAGAGATCATTCAGGTAACCTTTCTGTTAGAAAAAACTTTTTTTTTGCTATCATGTCGTTAGTCACAAGGGGGCGTATGTGATAGAAGTTTACACAAACGCACAACACATGCTTCTAATTTCTGAACATAAGCGAGATTCATTCTTATTAAATAAAGCTTATATTCTTAAGCACATTGTTTACTAAGAAATTTTATTTGCTATTATTCCTATGTTACTCCTAAGTAAAACTTGCAGAAAAGGCTCTTGTTCAATGATTCCCAAATATTAAACAAACAAACAAAAAAATTCAGTGCTTTTTTGGCACAAGAAACAGAAGAGCAAAGCTCAAAAAAAAATTCTTACCTAAGGGGAAGAATTGTAAGATTGAATGAAAAATTATGGAGAACAGATCTGAACAACATTAATAAAGCAATTCTGGAGCATCCTCCTTGGGTATACTCTGCAGTCCTCACTTGAGAATCTTACCATATGCTATATTATCATGGACTTGGAGTGCCTTTTGGAACATTCGAACTTTTGATTTTTCCTATAACCAAGACTATCCCATCCCTTCATAATAGCTGTGTTCTTCTTCTTTTCCTAAAGCTCATTGTCAAATAATGGATGAAAAAATCACATGTGAAGGATCAATGTTCTGGGAGAAAGGCTTTGTAGCTTTTCAAGCTGCCATTAATGCTGCTATCATAGAAGTGAGTAGTAAGTTAAAGGAACGTAATTGCATTGTAAATTAAATTTTGATGGATGGTGATATAATGGATTATCCTATGTTATCATTTAATTAATTTATTCACTTAGTTAATTTGGCACAATATGCTGAACAACTACTATATTTAAACCATCATGCAAAGCACTGAAGATCAGGAAATAAATAGAACATGGGCACTTTTCTCCAGGGATCCAGGTAGTGGGAGACTAGAAATATGGATAAACAGTAGTAATAAGAGTTTAGGTTCCATGATGGAATTATAAATGATCTGATAGGCAAACGATGAAGCAGAAGATACTCTGATGAGAAATATCAGAGAAGACTTACTAACCGAAGTGACATTTCAGCTGAGACTTCAAGCTTCAGTAGGATTTTATCCTGAGAAGATGGTGAGTAGGGACGTTTTAAGGAGTTAAGACAAAACCCGGAGTCTTCTAGGAACTACAAGGGGACAGATCATGATGGCCATATATATTAAATGTGGAATGCACATAATTTCTTATAATTGAGACAAAACGCATGAGATTATAATTAACTTAATGATAATTTCTTCATTGATGTCTTTCTCAGATCACAACAAATCATTCAGTGATGGAAGAGCTGATGTCAGTTACTGGTATAAATATGAAGATATTGCCTTTTGTTGCCCAAGCAGGGATTACGACTGATTTTTTCATTTTCTTCTGCATTATTTCTTTTTCTGCATTCATATACTATTTATCAGTCAATGTTACACAAGAAAGACAGTACATTAAGTCATTGATGACAATGATGGGACTTCGAGACTCAGCATTCTGGTAATTGACATGGCTACAATCTATGATGCAATGTAATACATGGAACAAGTTAGCTGGGTGGACTCTCGAGACCTGTAAAGTATCATATTCATTATATTTACCATATTGATGATCTCATAAAATAGTGCATTATAAGTGAATGGAGTAGATGGACCTATGGGCTTGGTAAATGAAACTTACTTCTTTGAATTAAAGAAAAAGCCTGATCCTATAGACTGCTGAAATCCAGATCATTAAAGAATACTATTGATGACTATTAGTCAGCCGGTTACCATACATGGGTGAACCCACATATATAAGACTTTGAGGTTTCTGTTTGATGAAATATATGTTTTAGACAGTTCATTAGAAAGGGTGAGTGATTTTGCCCCACGTTGAATGTCACCATTTTTATGACACCAAAGGAAAGAAGCCTGTTATACTTTTTAGGCATAAGAGCTTTCTTTAGTGGGGTATCGCAGAATAGTAAGAACACAGCCCTGGGAGGCAGTAAGTCATGGGTCTTCTTCATCTAACCTTTTAGTAGCTGCCACCTTGAACAAGTTACCTAATCTCTTTAAACCTCAGTTCTCTTTTCTGTGAAACATTGATAATAATATCTCTCTCATTGGCCATGAAGATTAAGGAAGCGAATGTATTTAAAATGCTTTACATTGAGCTTGACAAAAGTTAAACCCTCAATATTAGACAGCAGTTGATAGACCTTTGGGAAGTATTATGGCCTAAAACGACACTAGGTGCAGATTAAGAAACCAAGGATTGAATCCCCAGTTAGCAACAAAAATTTTTAATGAGTTTAGCCAAGGGATGCTTTTGAGACACACAGTGGTAAAAGCATACATCCGAAGTCAGAAAGCAGTGGTTTGAATTTCCCCTTTACATACTGTGATATTGTTTTCAATGTTAAACAAGATTTGTAGAATATACAGAATAGTTCTACATATGTGCCACGTAATCTTTAAAAAAATGGTAGACTCTGTTGAGTAGGAAGATCTCACATTGTTAGTGCTGCCAATTTACACCAAATTTATTTATTTTTCCATCAGAAGTGTTCAATAGACTGAATGAAAGAGTGGATAAAATGGATTGCTGGTTTGGTCTGGAATAGGAGTTTTCTCCGCATCTCTTTTTGTATTTACATTCTGTAATTCAATACTGAAGGAAAGTTTGGTCGCCATATTTTAAAAAATAATGGAAATGTACAAAGTCAGAGAAAACTAGCCAATTAGATAATTTAAAAAAGAAACCAAATATATCCAATGAAGCAGGGTTAAGAAAAATCAGGTCTTTTTCCTATAAGAAAAGACTGTGACATTCTATTTGTACAACACAGGAACGAAATTATGGGGAGGTTTATATAACACAGAGAGAGAAATGATTTCAGAACAGAAATGTGTTGTGCAAAGGGAATCATTACAATGAAGCAAGAATTCCCAAAATGTGATGGCATTTTTCCTCTTTGAATAAAAGAAAACTAAGTGTTCATTGTGGAGCTATTATAAACCGGTTGCCATATTAAACCCACAAAACACAACATTTCATTTAATTCTCTATTATTTTTCAGTAGATGATAAGAAAGTTTAAAGAGATGAAGTTACTACCTCTCAGGATCGTATAGTCACAGTGTAGGAGAGAAAGTTTGAACCCAGACCTGTATGATTAGAGAGTTTATTCTCTTTCCCCTATAAAGAACTTTCTTTCTGTTTCTTTGACATTGGCAGCAAGAAAAACGTATCTTCATATCCATCTGCGTATCTATGTCTTATGTCTATGTGTATATCTGTACCTATGTCTAATCTATATCAGGGGTTGGCAAACTGTGGTACGTTTTTGTACAATCTGCAAACTAGAAATGCCTTTTACATCTGTAAATGCTTGAAAAAATCAAAGGAACGGTAATAGCATGTGGCACACAAAATTTTACATAAAATTTAAATTTCAGGGTCTACAAATAAATCGTTATTGGAACACAGCATCTGCTTGTTGCTGTGACTGCTTTTGAGCTACAAAGGCAGGGTTGGGTAGTTGCAACAGAGACCATAAGGCCTGAAAAGCCTAAAATATTTACCATCTGGCTCTTCAGAGGAAAAATTTGCTGATTCCTGCTTCATTGTGGTTTTTTGTCCATGGTGTTGATACAGTTACTTTGCTGAAATAGGAAGTCCAGACCTAACAAATGGTCACAGATGTCTTCCCTGAAAACCTCTCTCCGTTACTCTCATTTTATCACTCAGTTTCTTTCTTTCTTATTTTGCAATTAGCTATCTATTTTACGTGTTTACTTGTTTATTGCCTATCTTCCCCTGTAGGATACAAACCTTAGGGGCAGAGAAATTTTCCGATTTATTAGCTGTTGTATTATTCCCTTTGCCCTTGGTATATGGTAAGCTTCACAATCATTTGCTGAATAAATGAGTGAATGAGGGGATGAAGTACCAGCATTCTGAACTGTTGCTTTGTTTCTGTGCTAGGCTCTCCTGGGGTTTGATGTATGCTGGCTTCATCTTTATTATGGCCACTCTGATGGCTCTTATTGTAACTTCTGCCCAAGTTGTCGTCCTAACTGGCTTCATGGTGGTCTTTGCTCTCTTCCTCCTCTATGGTTTGTCTTTGGTGAGTTGGTGAATTTAGTATCAATCTCTCTCTCTCTCTCTTTGGACTCTTTCTGAGAAAGCTACCCATCATTTCTCACTGATTCTGGCCACTCTTCTTCTGTTTTGTTTGCAGTGTTTGCATGAGATAGTATCTGGGTTGGGGTGGAGTGGGTGAAATATAGTTTTGTGATATGAAATTCTGTTTATTATGCTGTTGATGATTCTCAGAGAATTACATACTACCTGAAGTTTTTCTCTCCTCTCAGATAACTTTAGTTTTCCTGCTGAGCGTGTTGGTAAAGAAACCTTTCCTTACTGGGTTGGTTGTGTTTCTCCTTATTGTCTTTTGGGGGAGTCTTGGATTCACTGCGTTGTACAGACATCTTCCTGCATTTTTGGAGTGGACCTTATGTCTTCTTAGCCCTTTTGCTTTCACGGCTGGAATGGCCCAGGTAAGAGCTAATGTAACTATTCCATTTTTTAAAAAACAGATTCCCTCTGAATTATTCATGCTACGTGTGCTAAACATTAAAATTTCCCACCCACTTTTGTAAAGATACACACTGAAGAGATATGAGAGGATTTTATTTTTCTCTCTCAGTATAATTAGTTTTCTTTTACATCACTAAGTATAAGCCAATACTCCATTATTGATGTGGTTCAGCTTTTACTTTTAATGGATTGTCCAAAAGAACACTTATCAAATTTAATGCTCAGGAAACATGGCCCTTAATGTTATTGAAAATGTTTGAAAGTCAAGAATTTGATACAAATACATTTTTACTTTTTGATTAGCCAGTTATAAATGAAACTGAACCTCCTCTCAAAATTTAAGTCTAGTTATGACATCATATAAAATGCTAAATGAAAGATTATGTTATATATAATCTCATCATATCTAACTATATAGTTCAGTATGAAATTATTCTTCTGTCGTCTGCCCAACTACTGAAGTACTTTCACCCCTCCATGTTTTTACTCCTGAATGGTGTCTCCTGTCTAGAATGCCCTCCTTTTTCTCCATCTTAAAACTGATGAAATGCTATAGGTAGCCCAGCTCAAATACCACCTTCCTTGAGTTTTTACCTGCTCCCAGAGGGAGTGCCTACTGCTGCCTATGGGTCTCTAAGCCCTTGGTAACTACCTCCACTAACTTCCCAAATTGCTTTGTGGATGGTTTCGTTGATGTGCTTTCCAATAGATTAGAGCTCTGTAAAGACAGGAATTATGTTTTATTTATCTTTTCAATCCCGGCGTCTAGCAGAAATAAGACAACAATTCTTAATGTTCTATTTATTTTTAAATTCAATGTATGTATCTTTTTTTCAGCTTATTCATTTGGACTATGACATCAATTCTAACATCCAATTGAATTCTTCAAACAACCCATACCTAATAACAGCTACTCTTTTCATGTTGGTTTTTGATGCTCTTCTCTATTTGATATTGGCATTGTATTTTGACAAAATTTTGCCCAGTAAGTAGTAACAATATTGTGATTCAACACAATTTCATTCTTTGCCTTTCTTTAAAATAAATGTCTAAATGTATTGGATATAAATTATTAAGCATTTTTTTTCAAAATTTCTAAAATAAGCCTAATGGTATTCTGAACTTTGCCTATAGAATCACGTTCTAAGATCTTGTTCTACCACAACACTTTCAATTGTTTACTTTTTAAACGAGACACCTGCAAGAGGTTAAGGATAATTAAACAGTTAGTTCTTGTATCAGAACTAAATGAAGAATGCTAGTGCTTGATACTGGATCTTAGGAATTTCTAAATGCTTCCTCAAATGATTGCATTGACGTGCTGTCCTACATATTCCTTAAAATGGTGACAGATCCAATATTTAATTGCCTCCTCTTCATGTAGCTGAATACGGACATCGACATTCTCCCTGGTTTTTCCTGAAATCCTCTTTTTGGTTTCAACACCAAAGAGCTGATCATGTGCCCCTTGAGAATGAAACAGATTCAGCTTCTTCACCTAACGACTCTTTTGAACAAGTGTCTCCAGAATTCTATGGGAAAGAAGCCATCAGGTAATAAATAAATTACATGGAGGTGCAAATGGAGAACAGGTAAGTGATCAGAGATCTATCAGGCAAAACACAGATGTGGCAAAGAGTTCCTTCAGTGCCTCTTTGTATCCGCTTGCATCCAGGCTGCTACCCTCATCAAAGGCTACGTTCCTTCTTAATAGCACGTTCTCACATTGTCAGTATTTACATTTACAAATATCTTATGGTGTAGCAACAACCACCAATGAATAAATAATCTTCATATTTCCATTTTTCTTATTATCTCTTTTTTTCTCCTCTTCATGCTTCTTTCTCTTTCTCTGCCCGTTCTCTTTATGAAAGACACTGTCATCAACTCCATTGTTATTCTCACCCTCTTTTCTGTGATTCACTTTGTCCCTCTCCTCTTTGCTTCCTGATGAATAAGATGAGAAGGAAGAGGCAGGTGATGCAGAAAAGGGATGGGAGACATCCCAGAGAGATGGGAAAGAAGCATAAGTCAGGGATACTCATGTCGTCTTCCCTCCAAGATGATGTATGTGTTTTATTGATGCTGATTGCTGTATTTCCAAACACCAGAAATCCCTGCATTCCCTAGATCTTTGCTCAAAATTTGTCCATCATTCAATGTTACCTTTGTCTCACTCCTCAAAAAAATTTTTCAATTCACCCCCTCCACTTATCTGTTTTAACTCTGAACATTTATGACACTTACAGTCTCTAAATGTTTAACTTCTAAAAACATAGGTTTAATATGACCAGACACCATAGAACAGGATTCTCTCATTCCTCATGTGTTAGTGCTGTGTTATGAAGAATTGTGATCTCCCTTAAAGCTGGAACTTTAAATTGTGTGTCCCTTTCAGGCCAGAATCAGGTGCTATCACAGCAGTGATAGAAAGCCTTGAATACTGAGAGAAGGCATTTTGATTTATCCGGTGGGCAAGAAGGAAGATATTGAAAGTTTGTGAATCATATGTAACAAGATTAGCCCTATGATCCAGGAAAATTATCCCCAGCAGTGCATGGAGGCATTGAAAGCAGAGTCTACATATATGATTATTGGGGTAATCTAGAAGGTTTGATCTATGAATTGGCAAGCCAAGGCTGTCTGTCCAGTTTCATTGCGGTGACCTGCACTGCATCCAACAGACCAGCGCACAGAGCTTTGAAGCTCTGGGTCCTTCTACCCAGAGGCCAAGCCAGTCGGATTTACAATTACCTCTTAGTATAGAAGGCAGAAGAATGGAATGTCAATTAAAACACATTATTGTGCCAACCGCAGAGTAGATTCTACCTAATCTAGAATCTACTACCTAAACAAACGTTTAAGGCTAAATTCTATTAAAACATATGGGGAAAAAGCCATTATTCATTTTGTTTATGAATTCCTTATGAAGGAATAAAACAAGCTAACACCTGTTACTGCCTAAAAAAGAAAAGAGACGTAAACAGAGGCTAGGAAAAGCCCAGCAACTGGCCCAAAGTCACACAGTTTACAAAGAGAGGCAGTATTTGAACCCATATGTGCTCAACTCCAAAGCCATTGCACCTCGCTGCCTATCCTCTTCATAATTATTTCTGTACTTAATTGGATTATACTCATGCTATGGACTGAATCGTGCCTCCCAAAACTCATCTGTTGAAGTCCTAACCCTCAATGTACTGGTATTTGGAGATGGGCCTTTGGGAGGTAATTAGGGTTCGATGAGGTCATGAGGGTAGGGCCCTTATGGTGGGATATCCTTATAAGAAGAGGAAGAAAGACCAGAGCTCTCTCTCTCTCTGCAAGATGGCACTGTCTGCAAGCCAGGTAGAGATCCCTCATCTGCTGGTTTGTTGTAGGATGTAAAAAAATAATGCAGATAAAATGCACAGGACCTGGCTTATAGTAGACCGTCAATACATTTTAAATCTTTCTTCTCTATAATCAGTGTTCCTTTCTTCTCCCTCTTTTCTCATCTTCTTTGGCGGTGTACTATGTTTCAAGCCTTTTGCATTCTGCACATGGTATCTTATTCACTCTACAAATCAACCATATGAAATAGTTAATATTGTCACCCCCATTTTACAACTGAAGAGCTGAACTCAATAAGTTTTGAATCCACAGAATTTGGGAGAGAGCTAGTGAGTGGCACAACTGGACTTGAATCAGAACAGTCTGACCCCAAAGCTCTAACCTTTCTGTTAGGGTGGTCTCTGTTTCTCTTCTCTTCTCCACCAGAGTATTTCCTAAGCATTGATTTTATCTCCTGCTTTCCTCTCATCCAGTCATTTGTCACAGTCCTTACAGCATCTATTTCTGTGTGCTTGCTGCTGCCTCTGTAGTGTGATGTGTTCCCTTTATGGTGATCAGGGATGCTGCCTCTAATGAGATACCCTAGATGTTTCTCCCAGTCCCTTGGGCCTTTGTAAAGGAAAGAATCCCCCGATTTTCTCACAGCCTCAAAGACTTGATTTATCAATCTTCTGTCCACCTCTGCCATGTCTTCAAAACATTTTCCTTTTCTTTTCAGAATAAAAAATCTTAAAAAAGAGTATGGAACAAGAAAGCATGAAAAGGTAGAGGCTTTGAAAGGTAATAAAATAGCATCATATTTAGCATGGCTGTTTGATTTAGTGACTATGCCTCACCGTTATACTGTCTTGGTAGAGACCAAGAGCGAATATCCCAGATGTCATGGCTCACCTTTATTTGAACACATTATGCTTCCTTCTAAGTAAATTAAAAACCATGCAAGAATTTTAGAAGGTTGCACGCACCATTGATATCTTAGGGCTTTGAAAGATGTGTGATAGCATCACGATATTCTTTATTTTCAACTCATCATATTTTCTAATCCTAAAGCTATCTTTATTATAGTCAAGCTATTTTTAATGACAAAACTGCTTTTATCCAAAAAATTCCTAATCACATAATAATATATCATGACAAGGTTACAATATAAAATGCGTATTATATGAGATGCAGTTTTAAAGGAAAGAATTTTGAGATAGATTTTATTTTGAATATTGCTAGCCAAATATATACGGGCTGTAAGAAATTATAAAAATTTTGGAGAATGTAAAGTTACTATGTAGGCTGTGAGTGTAATCTTTTTGTAATAATGCCAGGCTTGGTGTTTGACATCTATGAAGGCCAGATCACTGCCCTCCTTGGTCACAGTGGAGCTGGCAAAACGACCTTGTTAAACATGCTTAGTGGACTGTCGGCCCCAACATCAGGTGAGAAGACAATTGTCCAATGACAAGAACATGGGCAAATGAATCAACTGTGCGTTTCATTAGTTAATTAGTTTCATTAGTTAATTTCAATAGTACTTTCGTTAACTACTAGTCACAGTCAGGTATTTAAAAGTTTTAGAAGTGTCTTCAAGTCATTATTTTATAGATTTATGTTCGATTGATTTAGGAAAATCTTTGTGGTTTAAATATTTCATGATAAGTGGCTTTATGCTTACTAATTGGTATTCCAGCTGGATCAGAAATATTGTGATTATTAGATTTTTAATTAGTCAATAGTGTATTCCATATAGGTACAATATGTTTAAAAGACTCCAGCGACTGAAACACGTTGTTTTCCATTTTAAAATATCTTAAGTGAAGCACGACACCTTATCTTGATGCTAACTCTCACTTTCCACTTTTAGGTTCGGTCACCATCTATAATCACTCACTTTCAGAAATGGCTGACTTGGAAACTGTCAGCAAACTCACTGGAGTCTGTCCACAATCCAATGTGCAGTTCGACTTCCTCACCGTGAGGGAAAATCTCAGGCTATTTGCTAAAATAAAAGGGATTCAGCCACATGAAGTGGAGCGAGAGGTAGATGAACATGTTAGATGTCACACCGATATGAAAATGAACTTGTTGACCTAGAAAATCCTAAATATATTTGTCTTCTTTCTACACAATTCATCACCTAAAGGCCCTTTGTAATGAACAGCAAAATGATAGTGTTTTTAAAAATAAACATTCTGGGTTTTGGACTAAATATTCTTTATTTGGTTAGGTACAACGAGTTTTACGGGACTTAGAGATGGAAAAGAATCAAGACATTCTTGTTCAAGATTTAAGCAGTGGGCAAAAAAGGAAACTAACCTTAGGGATTGCCATTTTAGGAGATCCTCAGGTAAGTGCAACCAAAATTACTGGTGAAATCCAATTGAGGGCTGTGAAGCTATTGTATTTGATCAAACAATCTGCAAATGATAAATATAAGACAACTGTTACAACGAAAAATTAAGTATTAATATATCTGTCCCAGTACTTTTACAAGTAGATTGCCATCTAAAAAAATTTTGCCTGAAAGGGGGAAATTATTTTATATGCTTTCCTATCATGCAGGTTTTGCTATTGGATGAACCAACTGCTGGATCAGATCCCCTTTCAAGGCACCAAGTGTGGAACCTCCTGAAGGAGAGGAAATCGGACAGAGTAATTCTCTTCAGTACCCAGTTCATGGATGAGGCTGACATCCTGGCTGGTGATTCTTGGTTTTCTTTTATGTATTTTAGTGAGAAATTAGGGACATGTGTGAAATATGTATAGATATGTCCCAACATAGCTGCCACATGTGTGACTGCCATGAACCAAGACAGGAGAATCTTGCTTTCATCCATTTGAGTGTCTACATCCCCAAGGACGTTGTGTCATGGAGGTATTCTGATCCTACTACAAAGAAGCTCATTGGCTGTAAAATATACAGCATACTCTCAAAGATATGTTATGTTTTATTCAGTATGAATGTCAGTTGGCATGGAATAGATCTTTTTGAAGTATGATAACTTTTCTAAATATATGAGAGAAACAACTAACATATCTTTGTTATTAGTTGACAAAGAAAGTGCCTTACATGTGACCAGAATTAGAATGTATCTATTTTAGTGGGTCGTGCTCCTAAATTACATTATTTATTAATGGATTTGTTCTTTTATAAGTAGTAAAAAATAATCTCAATACAAATTTTTGATTCTTTTTACTTAGATAGGAAGGTGTTTATATCCAATGGGAGGCTGAAGTGTGCAGGCTCTTCTCTATTTCTGAAGAAGAAATGGGGCATTGGCTATCATTTGAGGTACAGACCTTATTGTTGGAATATGTTGGAAATGTTGGGCACGGTGAAAACAGTATTACCATGTTAAAGTAGACTATCCAATTAGTAAGTTCAAGAGAGCTGTGTTAGAACTATGCCACAACTCGTTTGTTCTTAACTAGAATGAAGGATAAGTGAAATTGTAGACACTGAGAACATTAGGATGATTAAGCTAAGTTTAAATAAAATTTTTGGAAAATATTTTCACAACATCTTGTTTGCTAAGAGAAATTTATTGATATTATAGGCCCCTCTCTTATCATATTTCTGATGTTTATTTTTGTTCATCATGACAATTCCATTAGCCTCCTCTCTGTTCTCCCTGACTTCATTTTCTCCCTCATTCTTTTGTCTCCTTCTCTTCCTGATAATAACTATTATCATTATTAAGTAATGTCTATCACTTATTAAGGTTGGCTATGTTTTTAACGTAGTTAATTATTTAATTTTATTAAGTTTTTATTTATGTGTTCCTAAGATACTTACAAACTGAACACTCATATAATCATTTTCAATCCTCCAAATAATTCTAAGAGGATGGTATTATTATCCTCCTTTGACATGCCAGAGAGTTTTAATAATCTGCCCAATCTCATATTATTCACAAGTGGTAGAATCTTTGGACCAAGATTACAGGTGTGATATGAATTGTTCTTTATACTTCCCACTAAAATATTAATATTTCTTTAAAAAATTTCAAACCACTTCATCCCCTATGGTTAAATGGATCCCCCTATCATTTACTCCAAGTGTTTAACCTGACCAAATCTACCATTCCATCATGATTGATAGGTTTGGAACAAAAAAATGATAAATTAGTTAACGTATATTGACTATATTGAGGGTTTACTTAGCACAAGGCCCTGTGCTCTGTCATACATACTTTATTTTATTCTGTGCTTTAAAATTCTTTGAGAGCAGAGTATTATTTCATCTCACAGATTAGAAAACTGATGCTCAGAAATATTAAGCCTGAGCTCTGGATCATGGGTCAGCAGGATGTAAGGACCATGTTCTTTGACTATACCAAATTACCTCCATTTTTGTTCCTACCATGTTTGTCTTAGCTTCTTCGGAGTTCATACTTTACTGCAAAGAGAGAGTTCAAAGTTGAGTTTTGAATAGATGTAGACAAAATGGGGCATTCTCATCCACCTCACTCCGGCCAAGATCTAGCTGAATATCTCTTTTTCCAAATAACAACCTTCAAGTCACCTTATTTGTCTCTATCTCTCATGCTAGTTCTTCTGCCGTGTTGTATGAATTATACCATTTGGACTACATTAGTATTTTTATGTCTTGCTTCTTCCATTAGAGTATACATTTTTTGTCTGATAAATATTAATGAAGTGACAAGCACATATGACAATTGTTTGTAGAGATAGTGTTAGAGAAAAATAACTTTAATTTACTCTTTTTAAATGTTAGTTTGCATCTGAATGAAATGTGCGATCCAGACAGTATAACATCGCTTGTTAAACATCACATCCCTGATGCCAAATTAACAGCACAAAGTGAAGAAAAGCTTGTATATATTTTGCCTTTGGAAAGGACAAACAAATTCCCAGGTAACAGAATGCAGAGACCACAGAATGATTTATAATGGTATTACTAACAATAACAGTGGTATTAAGAATGATGACTAACATTTTAATGCCTACTAAGTGCATGGCACTGTGCATTAATTCATTTAATATTCCCCACCCCAAGGTCACTTCTAATATTAGCCTCTAACATCCCCACATCACTTATGACTGAACTGAGACACAAAGACATTAAATATGCTTCAAGTTGAGACACGTGCATTTAAGAGGCACGAGATAGCATCAAGCTAAAATTAGGAATATTTGGGAAATATGTTTCAGGAATGAATGAAAGAGTGTGGTCCGGACAGGAAAAGATCTGTGAAAACTTCACAGAGCAGTGAAGGGGACTAAGGGAATGGTACACAATATGTAAATTGTTTTATAAACACCATGACGTAATGTTATAATCTACGTTAATTATGATCAATCTGCATGTTGCCAAACATTCTAAGGTTCATGACTTTGCTGCAAATACAAAATACTGGAGGACCATTGTCTTTACCACTTTTCTCTCTGCTCTCCCAACATGCTGTTTCATTTCCTAAGAGTTTTGAGGTAGGTAGCAATTTTTTTTAAAAAAAAAAGTGCAACTCATTAAAATATGTTTACTTTATCAAGTTCCAGGAATTTTCCAACTTTTAATGGAGAATCCTGGGTCCATTGCTGAGTGCTTGAATCAATAAGCCTGCCAAAATCATGGTTAGAGAAGAAGTATAGTACCAGGCAATAGGGTGCAGTTGTTGAAAGCTCAGAAGCTAGAGCCAGACTGACCAAGTTTCCGATCCCAGCTATGTCGTTATTAGCTCTGTAATCCTGGACAGGTTCTATCACTTTTCTGTGCCTCAGTTTCCTCATTTATAAAAAGGAGACGATAATATTACTAACTTTATAGGGTTTTTATGAGGATCAAATGATTTAATATATTTAAATTTATTATTACAATATTAAATATAAATAAAGCACCTGAAATAATACCTGATATCTAGTACCTATAGTATTTCACCAAGTCTAAGATGCCCTCTACTACAGGGTGTGCTACCAAGAAAGAAATAGAAAGAAATAATGCTGACATTTAAAATATGACCTACCTGCATTTATGACACATGCTCATTTCAGATACGTTAAAAGATGACGAAATGTATTCATCTTAGAATCAGTGAAATAACGGTAGTCTTAGATGCATACGCAATGCCTTTGATATATGTATCACTTACGAAAACAGAAATCTTTATGAAACCCTCCAAGCAAAGTGTTACCTGATTGCTTATTAAATGCATTTCGTAGGGGAAATGTACAATTTAGAGAAAAATTGAAAAAGAACTAACACTTAAGTGGATTTAAGGACTCATTAGAAATCACGTCATGAATATATCTCTATTTTCCTTTAACACACCATTAAGATAGAAACATTTAATTTCTATCAATATTTGAATTATTCTTTATTCTACTTTCAATTTTCCTGAACTGTCCTAGGATCATTTCCAATATCTTTTTTTAAAAAAGTAATCTTTCAAAATGACCCACAAATCCCTCATGAAGACCAACACTCTTTCAAGGCTCCTATGTAATTTTCACACCATGGTCAAAAGCTGAAAGAGGAGAGAAAGAAAGTGAAACGTTGCATACGTGCTTCATCTTTTCCTTTAATTTATATACTTTGTAACTAAGGACAATTCTGCAGCACCTAATTATTTCTATAAACGTTAGTTCTGTTTCATTTGTTATTATATCGCTGAACAATTATCCCTAATGTGAAAGCACAAATCTCTATTGTCTGGAAAATATTCCATAATTAACGTAGGTTTGGAATTATGCATTTCCTATTTTAGTTTGGGCTGCTGTAACAGATACCATAGACTGCCTGGCTTACAGTCAACAGATATTTATTCCTCATAGCTCTGGAGCCTAGGAAGTCAAAGATCAGGGTGTTGTCACAGTTGGGTTCTGGTGAGAGACCTCTTCTGGGTTCCAGACTGCTGACTTCTCCTTGTATTCTCACACGGCAGAGACTAGAGAGAGGAAGCAAGTTTTCTTGTGACTCTTAGAAAGGTGTTAATCCCTTTCATGAGGGCTCTACCTTCATGACCTCATCTAACCCTAATCACCTCCCAAAGGCCTCACCTCCTAACACCATCTCATTGAGAGGTAGGGTTTCAACATATGAATTTTGCGGGAGATTCAAGCACTCAGTCCACTCATAACACTTCCTATAATCAATATAATTAAGTTTTTTTAAACAGTAAATAAAATACAATAATTTCTTCAAAACCCCCAATAAAACAGTTTTCTAAGAATGAAAAAGTAAATTTTTAGAATTTTATACTCAGGAAGTCATGGAAACTAACACACTATACAGATTATTTTAGAAAAAAGGAAAAGTCTATATCATAGCACTATTTCTGATGAATGCATTTGGCCTATCACAAATGTTTTCTATTTTTGAAAAATATAGTTATTATCAAGCTCATTGCAAATTATATTTTTTGATGCATTTTTGTGCCTACTTTCAGACCTTTATAGGGATCTTGACAGATGTTCTAACCAGGGCATTGAGAGTTATGGGGTTGCTATGACAACTTTGAATGAAGTGTTCTTGAAATTAGAAGGAAAATCATCTCTTGATGAATCAGGTAAACAAAGAAAACTTGAATTTTACCTTTCTGTGCAATATTTTATCTTGAAAATATGCTTTTAATGATGAGGTTACATGCTTCTGGAGGTGCCATGATTCAGTCTGTTCTTGGGAAAACTTAGAGCAAACAAGAGATGTATTTCTGTCTCCTTCTTCCATCTTTTTTTCAATGCTAGTCTCCAATCTTGAATGTCTTATCTTGTACCAAGCATTTTACTAAGCACATGGGATACAGAAGTGTGCAAGAGTAGGTCTTTATGGAGCAGACAACAAATGTGTAATGTAAGTGCTATAGAGAAAAGTAAATTAGAATCATAGATTGACTGTTACTTGTAGTATTTTGAGGCTGTTATTTCATTGTCTTCAAGATTCCATTATTGCTGTTGAAAGATTTTCTGTCAGTCTAATTTGTCATTCCTTGAATATTCTGCCTTTTCTCTCCAATTACTAATTAATTATTGCCTTGTTTCTGGTTACTATCTTCCTACCGTGTTTACTCTTTACTATGCTTTTTCATTTTCTATTTCTTTTTCTTATTGATCAACTATTTTTTAAATCTCTCTTTTATCGACTTTTGAAGTTATGAACTTGGTATCTTTTTAGTGGTTACACTTAACTTTTAATGTACATGTCTTATAACTTTCTTAAAGTCCAAAGTTGGTCAGTTTCTCTGGGCTCCTCTTCCAAAAGAGGTAACTTTTACCCTGTTTTCAACCATGGCTATATTAAAAATATTGTCTCTACCAATTTCATATTCTTAGTTGGAGAGGGAATCTATATGTACTGACTCTTCCACTTTGGTCAGAAATACTAAGATTATTTATCTCTGGCATTGAATAGATTTTTCTAGGCTAAATATAAATTTCTTTTCATTGGTTTCTGTGGAATGAAGTAAGTCCTTTAAAGCTGCTGACAGAACTTTTTTCCAGAAAATACAAGATTTTCTTTTATTATATCATTTTTTCTTCTTGTATTATATCATCTTTTTTGCTTCATTTCCCATTTCTTTATTTGTTTCTCTAGTAATGCCATGAATTAGATTAGCTGTGTCTTTGTTCAAGACTCTCTACTTTGACACCAATTTGTGAAAAGATAATGATAGGAGCATCTAAAAGATGCACATCTACAATGGTACTTTATAAAGCACTGATTTTGCATTTTATAGATATTGGAATTTGGGGACAGTTACAAAGTGCTAGGAACACAGACACAGGAAGACTTGTTGAGCTGCAACAAGTGTTGTCTTCCTTTAATGAAACAAAGAAAGTAGTCAGCGGCCTGGCTCTCTGGAGGCAGCAGCTCTGTGCCATAGCAAAAGTTCGCTTCCTCAAGTTGAAGAATGAAAAAAAAACTCTGCTGACCATGTGAGTACCCAAGTGTTTCAGAGCTGTCTGGTCAGTGCTCTCAAAATAAATGTGAAACAAAAAACAACTTCATATAAAATAAATTCCAGCAACAGCATATGGTCTTTTTAACATAGAAGTCAGTTTTTAATTGCTTAGGGTGGGAATGTAATTAACTCAAAGAAAGCTTGGGGTTTTTCTTTTAATTTCGAACAGAATCTGCTCTTATGGAAAGGTTTCAGTAGTTTTTCAGAAGCATGGAAGTTAGCACTTAGGTCTCATCCCAAACACTTGCCTTCTTCCCTAAAGTAGCTCTGTGCCAGGGCTTATCTTAGTCAAGGCTTCATGTTACTATCTGGAACCTACTATTTGGTTCCTATAGTCCTCTACAGCTTCAGGTTCTTCATTGGGTAATACCTCCCGTGCTACACACAGGACACTCATTCATTCAAAACTATTTGTGAGTGCCTCTGCATAACACTCTGTGTTAAATGTCTGTAACGCTTATGCAAATAAATCAAACATGAGATTCAGCTCTTGAGGGTGATTAGAGGTATACTACAAAAGCATAGCACAAAATTAGGTAATTTTGCCAACTGTAGCATTCAGTACAACAGAGATTATGTCCAAATAGGGGCATTTGAAGAAGAATTTTACATGAGAAAGAATTTGAATTTGGTGTGGGAAAATGGAACATTTAGCTAAGAAAAAAAAGAGAATGGAAATTCAGGCACATGGAGAGGTCCTGAGCATGGAGATACAACGGGAATCTGAGGAAATGTTATTAGCTTAATTGTAGCATAGAGTGTACAAAAAAGTAAAAATAATTTTGATAATGCACAGAGCTAAAGAGTTTGGACGTTATGAACAATAAGGAACCATTGAGGTTTTATTTTTTATTTTGAACAGATAATTGATATAATTATAACAGAATGCCAAGAAACTTAATTGGGCAACAGTGTAAAATTGGTTTGGAAATAGTAGACTTTGGAGACAAGGAAAACAATCATTTAAGACATACTGAAAGAGGTCAGGAATGAAATAATTAAGGTCCAAACTTGAAATGTGGAAAAGAGAAGAAGAGGCAAGCAATAATGATGATAAGAGAGAGAGAATTTTCAACCATTTGGAAAAGAGACTCAAAGGAGGGAAATGAATATAAAATGACTGAGCTTTGGAGGTCAAGTGAATGAGAAAATGTTGTAATTTGTAGAAGGTGGGAGCAGGAGGGAGAAAAGGTTCAGAGTGTAGTAAGTCTGGGAGCTGGTGATATGCCAGTTTGCAGTTGTCCAGAAAAAGGAAGAAATGCAAGACTGAGACATGAGACAGCGCGAAGAAGTGAGCATTGGAGAGAGGGATTTAAGAGTCATACTCAGCAGGCTTCGTAAGCTTGAATGAAACGTCCAAAGCTTGGGGGGAGGAGGCATTCAGAGAGAGAAAAATATCAAGGATAGCTACATAGGAATAATCTCATTTTAGGAAGAAGAAAAATGGGGGGAGGGGAGCATGATTTATGTGTTTGGTTAGTGTTTATAATTTATTTCTATTATAACATCCATTATTGGCTCAAACTTGAAAACCAACAAAAGTTACCAGAGACGAATTGTTTTCTTTTACATTTTCCTCTATGTAGATTATTGCTTTTTGGCATTAGCCTTTGCCCTCAGCTTTTGGAACATCTATTCTATGAGTTATATCAAAAAAGTTATTCTTGGGGACTGTCTCCTGATATGTACTTCCTCTCACCGGCACAACAACCGCAAGCTCCTCTGACCCCCTTACTGGTCATCAACAAAACAGGTGAACATGGGGCTAAAATGCAACTTTTAAATCCTGGTTCTTGTTGAGAGATTCCCCGGACAACATAAACCACAAAGGAAAGATAAATTCTTTATGTTTTCAAAAGCACGTATGAGGTGGAACAGGAAATTAATTTCAAAATGAAAAATACCACATTGAAGAGTTTGTTTTAGAAACACGTTATGACAGCCTTACTTAAACCTTAAAGCTTATTGCACAAAGCAACACAAAGGGATTTAAGAAGGTGGATCATTGACTGGTCTTCAAGGTCTTTCCATAACGTTTTCTAAGTACTATACATTCTTGGTCTCTGGAAAAAAAAAATCTGTTCCAAATTTGTAAGAAAATAGAAGATTAATATCTTCAAGGATTATAATGTTAATTTTAAATAGTGTTTTTACACTAACAGAAATTATAAGTAAATGTCTAGGCTCTAGGTAAAAGAACTTTGTCATATCCTTGATATTAGAATGGATTTCGGTACCACAGCATCAATTCTGCCTTCTTAAGGAAATCCTTAGATAGTCCTTATTGTGTTATACTTTGAGTGACATCGTTTATTTTTTTCTCAAATATTAGTTGACCATTGTTTTTCTTCACTTTTACTTCCTTTGATCTTTACCTTCATGGTAGGATCAAGCATTGATGACTTTATACATTCACTGAAGCAGCAGAACATAGCTTTGCAAGTGGATGCCTTTGGAACTAGAAATGGGCTCAATGAGTCATCGTACAATGGTGCGATCACTGTGTCAGGTGATGACAAGGTATGTTGGGCTCTGATTGCTGCATCTCACTAAAGATGGAATATGAATGTACAATTTGAATAATACATATCAACTGACACAAAAGGCCAATTTGACATAAACAAATGGGATATTTCTCATTTTTAGAGGAGAAGCTGGACTATAAGTATTTGCCCACAGTCTCAGTTAAAACCGTATATAATGAAATCTTCTTTGATTTTATTCCTTATTAAATGGTATGCACTACTATAATTAATAATGAATTTAAATCTTATTAGCAATTGCATTCCATTCCAATAATTAATTTAAATCTTATTCTTACTTGAATTTTAACTCCAATGACATTTTGATGAATCCTCCAAGCATGAATCCAATTAACGCCTACTGTGCACTTCAGCTCCAGTTACAAAAGAAATATTAGCTCTTAAATTTTTTATGGTAAATTTTTGTGTGGTTTTTGTGGGAAAAATACCTCAAGTCCTACCTGCTAAATTTTACACAAATGGGTCAAACCTTCAGATAAATGTTTATGCTTAGCTATCTGATGTTTAAAAAAAAATGCCTTAGTTTTCTGCAACTCAAAGAGCGGTTCATGAATCAGCATCATTGGATCACCTGGGTGCTTGTTAGAAATGCAGGATCTCAGGCTCCACTCCAGACCCACTGAGTTAGCATCTGCACTTTCATAAGATCTGCAGGGGATTAGTCTGCTCATGAACATTTGAGAATTGCCTTATTTGGCAATATTAAGACTGGTATATTTCCCATTAAACTGTAAATTTCTGGCTTCTCTTGAAACCTCTTCCCTCCATATGCCAATTCTGGCAGTCTGCCTTTGGAACTGAGAAACTGTCGCCCCATGTAGACTTGGACTTTACTTCCAACTTGCTGTATCTCCACACGGTTTCACTCATTTATATTACCTGCCTAGACCCTGTAGGAGTTTGGATTGAGATCCCTATAACAGACAGATGGAAAAGGATGAGAGGATAGAGTTAAATGTATAAAATAAGGCAGTTAGGTGTTGGAAAGCTTGACCGCTTGCAGTTTGTTGGAGCTAATTTTCAGAAATAATTTCCATGCCAAAAATAGAGTAAGAAATTACCTTCAATCAAACTAGTCCTTGGTATGTCTTAATCAAGTTAGTTTCCAGTATACTCAGAAAAATAGTTTTAAAAAATGGCACCGTTAATATTGATAAACATCAGTTTAAGTAATTAGGTTAGATGCAATATACTTGATTTACTTATGATAGTGATAATATATACCCAAATATAGATAATAATTTATTTAAATTCTTTTTATTTGAGGGACAAATAATCATTTTAATATATGTATATGTCATTTTAAAAGAGATTTTAATGTAGTATTGCTATTACAAGCTCAGTATTTGTGAAAAGCTTTCATTACAACAGCTACCTGCCTCCTGCTTTCCAAGTATTCAGACATTCTTTATTTATAAAATGAATGCATTATGTTTTGAAACAAAGCCTACTACCCTGTTAAGGTGAGGTTGCATTATAGAGTTTGATAGTGTTGCTCCTAAAAATCATTTGGGATATTTCGCTTTGTGAGAGTTAAGGCATAAATAGCCATATGGCTGATGCTGTGGTAGGTAGAGACCAAAATACTGGATTCCTAGAGGTATATTGGGAATTAATGGGATAATATGGGTGATGGTGATATCGATCACATTCAGTGCTTTAACCTTACTGTATTGCCAATAATTTGAATGATTTCCTACTTTATTCTTTCATTAAATTTTGTATTCACTTTCTCAGGACTTAAAATGCATATTTATTATATTTTAGAGTTACAGATTTTCAATAGCATGTAATACCAAAAGGCTGAATTGCTTTCCTGTCCTCATGGATATCATTAGCAATGGGCTACTTGGAATTTTTAATTCTTCAGAACACATTCAGACTGACAGAAGCACATACTTTGAAGTAAGTATAATATCTCACTTATACTGAGCCACAAGAAGCTTTCAGAAAATACTTGCAATAACATCATGTTAATTTTTATGAACTTATTCTTGAATAAGTTTATGTTTTATATACATATTAATTACTACATACACACATGTATATACACACACAATATTTAGGTGTGATTACATAACATTATGATGTTAATCAGATGACTTAGGGTCAATGGAACAGCAGATAATACAATTAACTGGGAAAAAGAAATGATGACTTCTGGTCTTCGATCTGTCACCATCTGTGGCCTTAGTAGCACGTGGTTAAAACAGCCAACTGAAAGGCCAAACTACGTGACCTTCTTAACAACTTGACTTCTGTAAGTGTTGGTTCACCAATCCACAAAAAAATATGGATAAAAACTTTATCACAAAGGTTTTAAGAAGTAAATGAGGCAATGTGAGCAGCAGGCTGAGTTGGCTGAGCTATTGTAAAGACGAACAATAAGGCATGTAAACCTTGAAAACCATAGGTGCTCAATAAATTGTACTTATTGTCATCATTGAATTTAATATTAGTTTTCTAGGGAACGCATCAAGTTTCCATTAAAGATCTTTCAGCTCTGTCTAGATGGGGGACTGGCTGAATTAGAACTGGAAGTAGTTCTTGTTTAAAATATGATTTGCCAGGTCTGCTCAGACTCTGAGTCAGAATCTCCTGGTAGGAGGAGGGTCTGCAAATCCGTGTCTTCAAGTCGTCTCTTTCATCTTGCTATGTTGAATCTCTCTTTGCCCAAATGACACTTTAGGCATATTCTATAGCTTCCTGGTCACTTTTTGTTATTGAGAATTATTCCAGTGCTGTCCCAAACTTCAAGTTCCTAGCCAATTCGAACAGTGGGAGTCAACTTGTGGCCCAAGGGATGTGGACTGGGGCAAGTGGTGGTGGTGTGATTTGCTCTTTCATTCCTTTTTATTGTCTAACATCTTGAAATAGAAAGAGACAGTGACCTTGCTCTTCTCCCTTCTGAGTAGAATGAGGCTGGGGCTGGGAGCAGAAGGGAAGGATGGAGAGATCAAGATAGAAAGAAATGGTGCTGTGAAAACATCCCTGCTTTCTCTAGTTGTACGTGCTACTGGCACCTTCTACTTATGTGGGTGCCACAGTCTAGGTGACCCGTGTGATTGTCTTGTGGTAGTGTTTAGCTTTGACCCAAGTCCCTTCTGTAGATGAAGACACACTTGCTGTTGCAGAGCAAAATGTCTCTTAGGTTTCTGTAGAAAAACCCACACCGTCAAGCCTTCTCCAGTTTGCATTGTTCATTGTTTGATATGGCCATCATCCACATAGTTTAACAACTTATTCCCCTCTTTAACCTCCGTGCTTTTTAAAAAGAGCTATGAGTACTGTTGAGTGCCTCTTGTCCACTGATTGAAAGTAATAGAGATTTGGGATGTGATGAGGGTTGCCTCATCTTCTTCATCAGCACCTCATACCATTGTCTTATTGAGCCACATTTCAGCAGTCCTCCTTCCTTCTGAAATCTCTAGAGCAGAAACAACTGTCTCCTTATTCATGTGAGGTCCCAAGTGAACCTCGAATATTTAGAACATTTAGAACATTTACCATGTGATTTACATGTATTATCATATTTAAACGTTCTAACAAGACTTTGAGATGGGTCGTATTATTATTATTATTGCTATTATTGTACAGCTGAGGAACCTGCAGTGCATAGAGGTGCTGGTATGTTTCATTAGCTGTTATATTGGAAGAGACAAGTCCATTATCTGGATAACCAAGAATAGAGTGCTCCCAAGAATGAGTAAACCACCTAACCTGAGCTCCTGCCTTTAAAAAGATGTCTTTAAAGATGTCTTTACTACAAATATTTGCTACCCTCTAGCCCTGCTGACCTTAAGTTCATGTGTAAATAAATTCTCTCTATTTGAATTGCTCCTGATTTCTCCACCCAGCCCCTGGCATTCTTCTACAATTCTGCAAGCATATTCTCCTTGATCCTAAAGCAAAGAGCTCACTGTAGCTCAGATCTTGTTTCTGACTCCACTCAATGACTTTAACCATCTATCAGAGTGTCCCGAAGTGTTCCCAACCAGCTGCTCCTGCACGTCTTCACCTGACCAAACTACCCAGTTGATATCAAGTGTCTCTGTGGGTCCCTCCAGGATAAGCCCCACTAAACTTGACTGTGGGTGGGTATAATCTAACACAGACATAAAACGTTATTTATGAATCAAGTTGTGAGTAAGGGGGCTGGCTGTTGAGACTAATTGTGAATTTCCCATCCTCAAAGATCTTCCAAATCTGGAAAATCAACAAGGGCGACCATAGGTAAGGATATCAAATGGATGAGGTGGTCCTCGGTACCCTTTCTTCACCTTCCAGGGCCTCATCTCTACATATGCGTCTTTATTCAGGCAGTTTTATGTGCTGTAAGGTCTCCAGGGGGCACTAAGTTTTAGGAGGGGCCAAGAAAAAAGTAAGATCTTAAAACTCATGATACCTGACCTCAGATAACTTGCAGTATAGTGAGACAACTGATTGTAGATCAAATCAAGGCTTCTAGCAAAAACAGGGCCCTTTCTCACCTGTACAGGATTTTGAACTTTTTAAAATTCAATGCCTTTATGTGGAATGTGTGCTGACCATTTTTTCCAAGCCCCACCACTGGTATTTCCTAACGTCCACCTACTCATTAACTTATATCTGCCAAGTTCCTGGAGGCATTTGAGTTTGTTCCTTATGCATTATGTTGAGCCAGAGGAATGATTCTTCATAAATGTTGAACTGAACTGATTTGCCACCAATTTTGGATAGTAGCAAAAAAGCTCCTCCATTGACAGTCCACAAATTCCATTGTCTATTAAAACATCAGCCTAAATGTTGCCATCATGATGTCAGAGAGCAGAAGTTTTATGCTTACCTTATCACCAAGCAAGGGCTCACTGCCTGATGCAAATAGAAACCAATACTACAGCACCAGCTTTTGAGAGAAGAAAGGCTTTATTGCAAGGTCGACCAGCAAGGAGACAGGAGGCAAGGCTCAACTTTGTCTCCCTGAGCTGAAGCGGGTACAGATTTTTAAGGAGTTGGGAGTGGGAGTCATTATGTAAAACACTAGCTTGGTGGAATCTGATTGGAGGTGGGAGTGTACCAGTCTTATAAGTCCAGTGTGCTACAAGTCAAGAGACCCCTCGTTTCTTACTAGGTTCCCTGCACCACTTTCTGTTCACATCAAGTTCTGTGGTTAGGGAACTTCTAGTTCCTAGGTGGCTCAAGGTCATCTGAGGACAAGGTTTCTGTCTTCTGAGCATGCTCCAGCTACATGACTTGCAGTTTTTGCTCATTGCCCCAGCAAAATATTTTACTTTGATATTTTGTTATTGAGACAACAAGATAAAATAGGGCCAATACGAATTGGTCTATGATGGTTAAACCTCATGAGTTATTAACTGTAGGACATTAGCCAAGTCATACAACTTGGTGGAGCTTTCTTCATCATAAGTAAATCAGGACACTTGTTCAAAATGTCCAAGTTGCTGCAACACATGATTAAAAATGAATGTGGGTAAGAAGTTGCAAAGAGGACCTTGGGAAGTGCTTTGAGTGGTAAGATTGATTCATTTATTTGAAGGATTTAGTCAAGAAAGTACAAATGAATCATAAGCTCAATTGCCATCAGCTCACATGTTCTGTATAATTTCAGGAACACATGGCTTATGAGTTCCTGAGTAATGCCTCCTTCTGGATACTCGTGGCAGCCTGTTTTACTCCTTACATCGCGATGAGCAGCTTCGGTGACTATAAAGTAAGAAGAGTTAACAAAGTCCTTCCATGTTCTTAATACCCAGAGAATCTTTCCCCATTTTATGACCATAAATTTATATGTAAGTGGTGCACCTAATTTATGTGCTTGACACAATGAACAGTTAAGCGCTTTGATAAAAGGTTGGCAAATATGAAGAAAACGCTATTTTTCTTAAACAAATGTGAGACCTCAGGAAAGACAGCTTAGAAGATATCATCAACTAACAAGGAATGCAGTTTTATCCAGTATATCACTTAGAGTTTTATTTCTAGACACCCACTGATGTAGTCACATCCCTTCTCTCAATGATAGTTTCCACTTTCCAGATGGTGGTTATGTTACTCAATTAAACAGCCCTAAAAATTTTACCCAGCACTTTGGTTTTTTGTTGAAAAGACTGTTCCTTTAAAGCTTCATTTTTGTGATTCCTCTATAAAAATTCAAGAAGCCTGTAACAGAGTCCTTCTGCCTCTCCATGGTACTTCTGTGCCATGCAAAGGCCCTTTCCTGTGTGTCCATGTCCTTAGCACCATCAGCTGATGCTGCCTTTGTGCTGTTGAGCCTTAGGAGAATTCAGGAGATGTCATTGATGGACTTGAATTAATTTTCATTTATTCTTCTGTTAAACTATTCCTATCTTTAGCAACGTCTCCCATGAGAAACACAAATACAATTCTTTCACTTTTATGAGACCATACTTTCACCACTTTCTGTTACCGCTCTTGTCACTGCTTCTCACTTGTTTTTTGGAATCAACCTGTTTCATTCAAATTTTGACTAGTCCATTGTCAAGCTGTATGAACATCTGGAAATTGATTAATGACTCAGTGTCTCACTTTTGTCTCTCATAAATTGGGAATAATAATTGCATCTATTTTAAATAGGTTCCTGTGAGGATGTGGTGAAATAATACCTATGAATTACTTAGAACAATATCTGGCGTATAGTAAGTTTCCTATAAATGCCAGTGCTTGATTTCCAAATGTCCAGGGTTTAGTCCTGGGGTCCCTTTTCAGCTATTTCCCCAATTCCTGACTTCCATATATATAACAGACTTCTTTATAGCTCTACATTGATGCCTAGTGGACATTTCAAACATGGGCAAAAGAAAACTTGTGATTTTCCTGGCTAGATCTGCTCATCCCCCAACTTTCCCATCTCAGTAAATGGGGTTGCCATCTACAGTTGCTCTAGTACAGAATTTTGGAGTTGTCTTTGCTTCTCTCTTTCTTTTAGCTCCCTTGTCTAATCCGTCAGGAATTCCTTTAAGCTCTACCTTGAATGTATCAAATCCATTCACTTCTTTCCATCTCTACTATTTTCATCCTGGTCTAAGCCATCTTCATTCTTTGCCTGAACCACTGCGATAGCTACTTGCTGGTCTCCTTATTTGCAGTTAATTCTGTATACACATCCAGAGCAAGCTTTCAAAAGTTTTAATCACTACCTTACCTCCAGTAACAACCTCCAGTGACTTCTTTCTGCACCTAGAATTAAATCCTAATTCCTCACTTTGTCTAGCAGAGTCCAGTGTGATCTGTCCCCTATCTGTCAACCTTTTCTTATTGCAGTCTCCTCCTCTACCCACTCCACATTTCTTTCTGATTCTCAAGCATGCCAACACCATTCTCATCTCTGCGCCTTTGCATTGGCTGTTCCTTCTGGCTGCAATGTTCTTCCTCCTGTTCTTTGCACAGCTGACTTCTTCTTGTCATTCAGATTTCAGTGCAAATATTATTTAAACAGAGACTCCTTCCTGCCTACCAAACCTAAAATACATTCCCCATCACTGTCACACGAGCTCATTTAAAAAATCTGTGCACAGTGCTTATTGCTGTCTGAAACTTCTCACATTTTTGTTAATAATCTCCTTCCCACTAGGAATAAGCATCATCAGAGCAGGAATATTTTTCTCTAAATTCTACCTACTCCATTGTTGCTTATCTCTATAAATATTAGATTACCTTTCGTTCTTTTACTCTTGACTAAAACCTAGGAGCTATTCCTGTAGTGGTTGTCAGATTAGGCAAATAAAACCAAGTTAAACTTCAATATCAGATAAACAATAAGTAATTTTTTTTAGTATAAGTATGTCCCAATCTGTATTAGAGACATACTTATACTAAAAAAAGAAAGGTATTTGTCTAAAATTCAAATTTAACTGACACCTCCATGACATTGGCACGCTTCTCTCCCTAACCTAACTTTTGGCTAATGGGGAAGTCGTGGAATTTACTTCTGAAATTTATCTGGAATCTTTTCACATTTCTCTATCTCTCCTACAACATGTTAGTCAAAGCCACTGTCATCTCTTTCTTGGATGAGCACAGCAATCTCCCTAACTGCTTGCTATGGATCTACATTAGTCTTCTCCTTATCCGTTTTCCACACAGTGTGACAGAGAAATATCTTAAAAGTACAGATATGACCATGTAAATTATCTGCCTAAATCCCTTCAGTGGTTTCTCATCAGACTAAGGAGCAAGAAGGAAATCCTTGCTAAAGCCTGAAAAGCATGCATGATCTGGTCCCAGGTGTCTCTCTCCACTTTGATCTGATGCCACTATCACCTTGATAACTATGTCCAGTCACACTAGTTTCTTTTCAGTTTCCTAAAAACATTAACTCTACCCACTGTAAGGCCTTCTCTCCTGTTCTCTCTGCCTGCACTACCTCCGACCTGTCACCTGGATAACTACTCCTCATTGCCTAGACCCTAACCCAAACCCTTCATGAGGAAACTGTCCCTGACACGACCCCCTAGTCATAATTTATCTCCCTTCTAAAGGCTCTTATGTGACTCTGAATTTTAATACTTTTAATTTTACTTCTTTAATTTTAACAATTTTAATTACATAGTTATTGCTATACTTATTTGTTTATTGCCTTTGTCTCCCTTCCCTTCTGCAACTTAAACTCCACAAGAGCTCCAGGACTAACACAAAGCCAGGCACATGGTGCATGCTCAGTAAATATATACTGAACAAACTAATGAAAAGGAAAAATCAAGCCCTCTAATGTATCCTCACTATCATTCTCTTTTCTGCTTCCTCCCAGAAGCAGAAAAAATTCCAGAATATTTATCTGCCTTTCAACTTTTTCCCTAATGAATCTCTTTATAGAGACTCAATTTTAGATTGAAAAGTTTAATTGTTTTTGTGCTTTACTGTTAGAAAAGTCCAAGTTACATTTTAAAACCTTGTATTAAGACAACCACTGCAACAACATGGCTTACAATAGGTCACAATGTCAAAATCCACGTACTAGTTTTACATGTAATCATGAAAACTGTGGTTTAGTTCAAGAAAATGTGTCACATTTTAACAGAAGTCTTCTTATGCCAACCTAAAGAATTTTTTTGGAATTGGCTCATTAGATGATCATTTCTTAGACCCCAAATAAAATGCCAGTTATAAATGCACTGTTTACATTCCGCATAAAATTTAAGAATCTTACAGGAAATTGCAAACCTGCATCTCTTGAGTCTTTTACAATTTGCAAGTCTTTACAGTGTCAAAGGGAAGAGTAGCTTTGGAAAGAAAAGAACAGGTATTTTCTCATTGAGGGACTGCCCAGTCATTCAGTGATGGAATGTGAGCTGGTCATGTTGGTGCATTTTCCCTTTAGATGATGAAGTCATCCTGTGGTTTACAGTGTTATTAATGCCCCTGAAGCAGGAGTGTGACAAGTGACTGTGTCATTTCTTAAATCAGCATATTATCTGGAAGGGACATAGAGAAAATGAATGCTTTTGTGACTACCCATTTGCAATTTCTCAAGCCTCAACTGTTTCGGACCTTTTAATGATTCCTCTATTTCTTTATCAGAAAAAAGTTCATTCCCAACTGAGGATTTCAGGCCTCTATCCTTCTGCTTACTGGTTCGGGCAGGCGCTGGTGGATATTCCACTGAACTTCTTGATCCTCCTTCTAATGCAAATAATGGATTATGTTTTTAGCCCAGATGAGATTATATTTATAATTGAAAACTTGTTAGTTCAGGTAAGTGACAAAAATTATGAGATCGTTTTATTAGGCTATTTATCATGAATGCAGTAATATTAATGACAAACCAAAGAACTTCAAATTACCTTTGCTATAGAATAATTTGGAAAGTTGTGGTTAAGGGTGAATACTTTCTTAGAAAGTGTTTACCTTATCCAACTTTAATATTTTTATTTGCAGATCCTGTGTAGCATTGGATATGTTTCATCTCTTGTTTTCTTGACATATGTGATTTCCTTCATTTGTCGCAATGGGAGAAAAAATAGTGGCATTTGGTCATTTTTCTTCTTAATTGTAAGTATGCACACAGTGCATATTATTCTATTTTAAAACCATTTTAAAAATAATTTCAAGAACATATATATTAATCTTTGCATTAAGCAGAATGAAAAATTAATATTGCTCTCTAGAAAATTTGAATTACTCTAAGATAATCGTAGACATATATAAAATACAATAAGTGTAGGTATCTACCATTTATAAACTATGAACTCAAATACGTCTCCAGGTCTAACCTCTCCCTTGAGCTGGACGCTACTGCCTCTACATGTTCACGTGCAATTTCACTTGAATATTTAAAAAGCACCTCAATGATCACATATCTGAAATATAATCCTCGCCTCAATCTATTCTTTTGATCTTAATATATCACATTATTGCAGCACAATCTATCCAGCTAATTGCTCATATCAAAGATCTAGAATTATCTTTAATTTCTCTCTCTTTGTTTCGCCTCATGTTCAATCCATTTGCATGTCCTTTGGACTCTAAACGTTTCCCAAGTGTGTTTGGTATGTCCCAACTTCACTGCCACAACCGTTGTCTAAGCTTCTATCATCTCTCAACTGGAGTACTGCAACAGATCTGTAACTGGTCTCCCTCTTCCTATTCCTGCCTCCTGTAAACTATTTCCACATAATAACCAAAATGATCTTTTCAAACAGTTTTTTGTTAAAAATTATAACTGGTGTATAGAAAAGTACGCCATAGATTAGTTTAGCCAGTTTCTGAACTTCATAAAAATGGGATCATGTAGAAGTTATTATTCTGTATCTGCTCTTAGTCAGCAATATATTTTTAGAGCCATCCACGATGTTGTATATGATTACTACCATAGTTCCAAAGTTCATTCCTTTCCATTTCTGTAATATTCTATTGATGAATATGCTACTATTTTTCTGTTCTATTGTTAACAGACATTAAGTTGGCTTCCTGTTTTGGACCGTTATGAATAATGCTGTCATGAGCTTTCTTGTATGTCTTTTGGTGCACATATGTAAGACTTGAAACCAAAAAACTCTTAGAAGAAAACATAGGGAAAAAGCCCCTTGATATTTATCTTGGCAATAATTTTTTGCCAAGGACACCAAAAGCACAAGCAACAAAAGCAAAATCAACTGGTGGTACAACATAAACTAAAAAGCTTCTGAAAAGCAAAAGAAACAATCAACAAAATGACAAGGCAACCTAGGGAATGGGAAAAATATTTACAAACCATATATCTGATACGGGGTTAATATCCAAAGTATATAAAGAGCTCATACAACTCAATAGCAAAAAAATCCTAAACAATTCGATTGAAAAATGGACAAAGGGCCTGAACAGACATTTTTTCCAAAGAAGACATCCAAATAGCTAACAGGTAAATGAAAAAGTGGTCAACATCACTAATCACCAAGGAAATGCAAATCAAAACCACAATGAGATATCACCTCACACTGTTAGAAAGGCTATTGTTAAAAAGACAAGAGATAACAAATGCTGGCAAGGATGTGGCAGAAAGGGAAACCTTTTGCACTGTTGGTGGGAATGTAAATTGGTAAGTCACTATGGAAAACAGTATGGAGGGTCCTCAAAAATTTAGAAATAGAACTACCTTAAGATCCAGCAACCCCACTTCTAGGTATTTATCTGGAGGAAATGAAATCACTGTCTCATAGAAATATCTGCACCCCGTGTTCATTGCAGCATTATTCATAATAGTCAAGACATGGAAAGAACCTAATTGTCCATTGACAATGAATAGAAAAAGAAGGTGTGAAGTGTATATATATATATATATATATATATATATACACAATGGAATATTATTCAGCCATGAAAAGAGGAAATCCTGCCATTTGTGAAGACATGGATTACCCTTGAGGGAATGAGGCTAAGTGAAATAAGTTAAACAGAAAAAGACAAATACTGTATGATCTCACTTATATGTGGAATCTAAAAAAGCTGAATTCATAGAAAGAGAAAGTAGAGTGTTGGTTATTGGGGGCTGGGGGTTGGGGAAAATGTGGCGATGGCCACAGGGTACAAACTTCCATTTATAAGATGAATAAATTTGGGGGAATCTATGGACAGCACAATGACTATAGTTAACAATACTATATTATACACTTGAAATTGCTTAGAGAGTAGCTCTTAAATGTTCTCACTATAACAACAGAAAAAATGGTAATTATGAGAGGTGAAGGATGTATTATTAACTAATGTTATTTTGATAATCATTTCACAATATATATGTGTATCAAATCACCATATTGTACACCTTAAACTTACACAATGTTATATGTCAATTATATCTCAATAAAGCTTGGGAAAAAAAGATGAACTACTTAAGGATGGAATTAATCCAGTCAAGAAATAAGTCAAAATAAAAAATTCAAGAAAATAAAAATCACTGCAAACCACTGGTATAGACTACTGAATAATGTTAAACATGTATGAAGATTATACAACTTTGAGAATCATGGTTATAGCATATTTATATGGAAAAACCCACAAAGTTTAATAGTTCCTTTATAAAGCAAGTGTAACTTTAATAGCAAATCCTGAGGAAGACAGAGTAAAAAAGAAGATCATTGATGGATTCACTTGGAAAAATCACAGACAACTGTCTAAATTAAAAGATGGCACAGCAAATCCAGAAGTAAATTAAAAGAATAATAATAAAAAATAGTCAAGTGTGATTTATTTAAAAATGCAGTGATGGTTCAGTATTAGCAGCTATCAAACTAAAGGAGGAAAACTTCATGAGCTAAGAAAACACTATACAATTCCTAAAAAGTGCCCAGTAAAAAGAAAATATACATATAATAAAGACAAATTACCAAAACCAATAGCAAATATCACAGTACATGGTAAAATTGTACAGTTATTCACCTAATAACTGATAGTTATTCACCTATCAGCAGTAAAACAAAGACATCTACAATAATTATCTGTGTCAGTGAGGTGGCATAATGCACACTGTAATTCATGGTTTGTAGGAGAGCAGATTATCCTAATAATTTTGAAAAATAATGGCTAACTATTGAAACAGTAACTATTGAAAATTTAAATGCACATAAATTTTAACCTGCAATTATAGTTCTCAGAATCTCTCTTTAAAAACTGAGAGTGTCAATATATAAGGATTTATGGAGACCATCATTTTAGGAGCAGAGAAATTGAAACAACACATTTTGTGAAGACAAAATTGTTGAATTATTCCACATCCACTCAAAGAAATACTATACAGAAGGTGTCATGATGGCAGTGTAAGTGGACTCTGACCTCACCTCCTCCCACAAATACAACCAGGTTACAACTATTTTTAGAAAAATTACCCCTATGAGAGAACTGAAAACTGGATAAAAAGAACCTCTGCAACAAGGGACAGTCGTGACTGAGGGAGGAGAGGCAGAAATTTCTGTCTGGAGAGAAAAAACCACTTTCATGAGCCACAGAGCTTCACAGTTGGCTGGCCAGGAGCAATCCTAAGGTACGCAGCCTTCCCTGGAGGAGTAGGGGACCCAAGCAGGGCAAAGTTGCCACTATAAGCATCCTTTGGACTCAGCCCAACTAAGACGAGTCTCATAACATCTGGCTTTGCTGGCTATTAACTACAACAGAGAATACCCCTAGAAAAGCTATTGGACATAAGCAGAAAAAAATCAGCACTTAAAGGGCCCATGCACAAATTCACCCATTTTGGGAAGCAACCTAAAATCACCAGAAAGAAAGGTGCACTGCCCTTTGTTGAAAAGAGACTCACCTGATAGGCTCTGGGTACATATTGGTGAGAGATGGGGCCTCTCTAGGGACTAAGACTTTGGCAGCAGCCATTATTGTGATCTAGTATAGGCATCTGGCATAGATACTGGCAGACACCATTGGAGTTCCTCCCTTGGGTTGTTAGCCCTGGGTCTGCCCAGCCCACTAGAATTCCAATTTAATCCAGCTCAGCCATGGCAAGCAGCCCACCCTAGGGACTGGTCCTACCCCTCAGCAAGCCCTCAGTAAAGTGTTCGGCATGCATAGACTGGGTGCTTGGATCCTCTGCAGGTAGGCAAGTGGGCCCGCCTCTGTGGGTCAGGGTGTGCATGAGGAGAGGGTGGAGAGTGTGGGGCATAAGTAGAGTGCATGGGAGCCCCAGCAGTGGGGTGACTGGGTCCATTCCAGGGGGTCAGAAAGTGTGCATGGGCCAGGATTGTGTTGATGGTGGGTGTGGTGGGCCATGGGGCTGGCTTATCCGTGGCAGAAGACCTGTATTTCTCAAACAGCCACACAGGGGATCAACCCTGCCAGCCAAAGCCTGAAACAATTGGCTGCTCCCATGCTTTGGGCCAGCCCCACTCACCTGCAATCCAAAGAGACCTGACAACAGCCTTGCAGGCCAGAGGCTCACAGCAATTGTAAGCCCCTGAGCCTTGCAATCAGCCATGGTGGGGGCCTAGTCAGTTAACAGAAAAACTGCAACAGGAATGTGCTATTAGACCTTTCAGCCAACTGTGCTGGGGCTCCCCAAACTTGATAAACTGACTGAAAGGTCCATAGCAGCCACACACAGCTGAACACTACAACAAGTCAGTCAGGGGGCCGGCTTAGACTCCCTGCACAGCTGCAGCAAGAGCAACCCTGCCACAACAGACAGACATATGTAGCCCACACAGGGTTCACACCTGGAACAGCTGGAACTGGTGGCAAGAGGGAAGCATACCGCTGGGCCTCAAAAGGTGGCTCCTACATAAGGCTACTTCTCCAAGATCAGAAGACATAGCTGACCCACCTAATACAAAAACATAAGCACAGAGAAAGAGGCAAAGTGAGGAGGCAAAGGAATGCATTGTAAGCAAGGGACCAGGACAAAACCCCAGAAAAAATAACTAAATGAAACAAAAGGAAACAATCTACCTGACAAGGAGTTCAAACGAAAAGTCATAAGGATGCTCACTGATCTTGGGGGAAGAATGGATGAACACAGTGAGAATGTCAACAAAGATTTGGAAAATATAAAAAAGAACCAATCGGAAATGAAG